ATAACAGTTACAGTCTTATCAGTCTCTGGATCATATGGTAATGTGGTCGTCTGTGTAAAGCTTCCTGTCCATGTCCTGGTTTCAGTAGCAGTATCAAGAGAGTGAGCTTCTCCACCTGTTTGGATAGGCTCACCTGTCTCAACACCAGGATGGTACTCAATAACAGTAGCAGTTTCTCCAGGTCCTGCACTAACCGTGGTATAAGACACAATTGTACCATCATAAGTACTGGTGACAGTAGTAGTGGGCACTGGGATCTCCACTATAACAGTTACAGTCTTATCAGTCTCAGGATCATAAGGTAACGTGGTCGTCTGGGTAAAACTACCTGTCCATGTTCTAGTTTCAATAGCAGTGTCAAGAGAGTGACCTCCGGGCACCCCAGTACCAACAGGTCCACCAGGATGGTACTCAATAACAGTAGCAGTCTCACCAGGTTCCGCTGTTACAGTAGTGTACGAAACGGTAGAGCCATCATAAGTCGTGCTCAGTGTAACTGTAGGAATAGGAACTTCAACAACGATGGTGACAGTTAGGTCAATTTCAGGATCGTAAGGCAATGTTGTAGTCTGCGTGTAACTTCCTGTCCAAGTCCTAGTTTCAGTAGCAGTGTCAAGAGAATGACTCCCGGGTTCTCCTGTTTCAGCTTCTCCAGGTTCTCCAGGTTCTCCAGTCACACCAGGTCCACCAGTCTCGACACCAGGATGGTATTCAATAACAGTAGCTGTCTCGCCAGGTTCAGCTGTCACAGTAGTGTACGAAACGGTAGAGCCATCATAAGTCGTACTCAGCGTAACAGTGGGAATAGGTACTTCGACGATGATACTAATAGTTGGGTCAATCTCAGGATCATAAGGTAACGTGGTCGTCTGTGTAAAACCTCCCGTCCATGTTCTGGTTTCAGTAACAGTATCAAGAGAATGACCTCCGGGTTCTCCTGTCTCAACAGGTCCACCAGTGTCAACACCAGGATGGAACTCAATAACAGTGGCTGTCTCTCCAGGTTCAGCTGTCACAGTAGTGTACAAAATGGTAGAGCCATCATAAGTCGTGGTCAATGTTACTGTAGGGATAGGAAGCTCGACAATAATAGTCATAGTTTCGTCAATTTCTGGATCGTAAGGTAACGTGGTCGTTTGGGTGAAACTACCTGTCCATGTCCTGGTTTCAGTAGCAGTACCAAGAGAGTGAGCTCCCGGTTCTCCAGTCCCAACAGATTCTCCAGTCTCAATAGATTCTCCAATCACACCAGGTTCTCCACTTTCACCACCAGGATGGTACTCAATAACAGTAGCTGTCTCGCCTATGTCTGCAGTCACAGTGGTGTACGAAACGGTAGAGCCATCATAAGTCGTACTCAGTGTAACTGTAGGAATAGGTACTTCCACAATGATACTAATAGTTTCGTCAATCTCAGGATCATAAGGTAACGTGGTCGTCTGGGTAAAACTTCCTGTCCAAGTTCTAGTTTCAATAGCAGTGTCAAGAGAATGACCTCCTGGTTCTCCTGTCTCAACAGGTCCACCTGTCTCAACACCAGGATGGTACTCAATAACCGTAGCAGTCTCACCAGGTTCAGCTGTCACAGTGGTGTACGAAATGGTAGAGCCATCGTAAGTCGTACTCAGCGTAACAGTTGGAATAGGTACTTCGACAATGATACTAATAGTTTCGTCAATCTCAGGATCGTAAGGTAACGTGGTCGTCTGTGTAAAACCTCCCGTCCATGTTCTGGTTTCAGTAACAGTATCAAGAGAATGACCTCCGGGTTCTCCTGTCTCAACAGGTCCACCAGTGTCAACACCAGGATGGAACTCAATAACAGTGGCTGTCTCTCCAGATTCAGCTGTCACAGTAGTGTACGAAATGGTAGAGCCATCGTAAGTTGTACTCAGTGTTACAGTTGGAATAGGAACTTCCACAACAACTGTGATAGTTTCAATATTTTCAGGATCATATGGTAACGTGGTCGTTTGAGTAAAACTTCCTGTCCATGTTCTGGTTTCAGTAGCAGTATGTGGTGGGTGGAATTCGATTATAGTGGCTGTCTCACCAATGTCTGCAGTCACAGTAGTGTACGACGTCGTGGTACCATCATAGGTCGTGGTCAGTGTCACAGTTGGAATAGGAATATCAACAAGCACGGTCACAGTTTTATCAATGTCAATATCATATGGTAACGTAGTCAGCTGGGTGAATGTTCCCGTCCAAGTTCTTGTTTCAAAATAAGTTTCTATCGGACGTAATTCAATAACAGTAGCGGTTTCTCCAGGTTCCACTGTCTTTGTAGTTCTTGTGGTGACTTTCCCACCGTATGTCGTAGTAATAGTTGTAGTTGGAATTGGAACTTCAACAACAATAGTTTTGGTTTTGTCAAGGGAGTGATCAAAGCTTAGAGTGGTTACTGTGGTATATTTCCCCGTATAAGTTCTAGTAGTGAGAACAATTTCACGACCATCGGACCAAGGATTTAAGTTTATATACGGTGCCCAACCACCATTAAATATAATTTTAGTTAGTTCAGACAGACCGGAACAGTAGTGCGTGTCTATGTAGTCTAAGTAAGGTACATCAGTAAAGGGTATTCGGGCAAGTATTTCAAGAAAGGGCCTGTAACCTGCTGGAATATTTTCATATTCAACAATGAAAGTGCTTTGATTACAACTTGTTGTAAATGTAAATGGAGCAATAGACTTAGGACAACACCACTCATTTAATTCGTTGGTTATAACAGCTCTCGCATAATTGCAATTGAATGTGTGCTCGGCATTCAGAAGTTTCATTACAAGAGTTCCCGAGTCATAACCATCGGGACATTCCTCAGCGAATATAGTTAGCTGACTAACACCAAATATAGGTGATTTCCTACTACTACGTAACAATGGTTTTGTAACATCGCACACTTCTTCAAAGTTAACATCAATTGAAAGAATATTATCGCCATCTCTGAATGAAACCGTGTTGGTTCCAGAATGAAACATAGCGGCACATTCCAAGTCTATAGCACTTGCTCCTCTTCCATTATTAAAAGTAACTGGAATAGTGAAAGTACCATATGCCTTCGTCTCAGAGTCAACTTCATCTAGTAAAACACACAACAATTCAGAGTACGTGACAATAATATCTCCTGGATTGAAATGACAGGTAGCAAAGGTGGTTGTTGCACCGGTGATTGGGTGTGTTGCGATCAAATCAACATGTTTTTCAACGGAGTTAAACTTGAATACACATGGCATAGTTAAAGTGAAAGTATCTCCAGCACTCATGGTGGATCCGTCAATGTTCCATCCCATTGTTATCATTCAAGAAGGAACGGCAGGAGAAGCATATGGAAAACTACCTGACGGCTCCCACACTAAGGACTCGAAAGACGTGAAAACACCAGAAATTTCTTTGGTTAAAATACTTGTCAATAAAATTGAAAAGAAAAAAATAAGCGATATCATCATTTCTCTAGTTGGTTATTTCCACAAATGGGTATTCTCTGTATGGGAAATTGCTACCGCATTTATAATGTTTTGAACTGTTTCAGAAACACCCACTCCCATTTCCATTTCCATATCTCACTCCTTATCCTGTGCATTTATCCTAGGGCTCATTTGCACCCATGCCAAAAAAAAATTGAACAATTAGCAGCAATAATCTAGGAACAAAATATTTCATAACCATCAAAAAACATGGCTACAAGATAATGCGCCATACTCCAATTCAATACTATTTTTAAAGCTATGAAGGGCAATCTCTTGGTATAATCTTGAACTTTCGGTACACTCCCCACCACCTAGGACTTGACCAGTTGAAATGGGAGAAAGGCATAGTTACAAAAACAAAAGCTCACTATTTGGGGAACCTACTTTTTGGGGTTAGTACTATCTGGTATATCGGCCCATTCTTGAATTTCTCTGGTTAGTTTTGTTTGACCTTTTTTTATATAATCTATGAGTTATGACCTCATTGCTACATTGATGTTCCTAACTCTGTAAAATGCAATGTAGCCCTGTTGGGGAATACAAATGAAACGTCAAACAAGGGGGGATTAACTGCCAAAATAGTTGTTGCTGGTTTGCAACACTGCCTCTAAACCTCCCTAAACTCTTCAAAGTTTGGAAAATATGCATTTGAAATATCTGCTTAATTTTGTTTCTATGTGTAGGTAATAGTCCATGTGATTATTAAACAGTAGCGTTGAACACAAGATTCTAACACCACCCTCTTCCTTAACAGATACTGCTCAACCTCCATATTGCAATAAATCAGTTTCAATTAGTTTCTAATGTCCAAAGCGCTAATAATATGTAGCTAGCGATTCAACAGAATGGCGATACATATTGCTAGCTCGTTAGCAACACGAAACAAGTGAGTTTTCAACATGCATTTAACAGAATCGAATTTGAAAATGTGTGTTTTAGAGTTCCCTTGAGTAAGCAGTTTGGTAGGAATGCACTCTGTCTATATGTTGTGAATGTTCCTTGATATCAAAATGGCACTGTTTGGGTATTGAATGGTTTGTTGTAGTCCCCTACCTTAGTTGTTGTTTTGACTTTAATTCTACAATACATTACGCGATTATTTGTTTTCCTCACTGTCGCGTTTGTTTTTTTTTTTTGGTTAAGTTTGCTTCTGAATGCTTACGCGCTTAAACGATTTTAGTAGCACTAAAACCATTCGTGTTTGCATTTCAATACAACCTAGAACCTGGTAAGAACTAATACTTAGTTATAGTAGCTATTTATGTTGCAAAAAGAAAAGGTAAAGTTAAAGTTATTAACAGTAAAATGTAAAAAAAAAATTAACTATTGTTTGTAGCCACAAACCAAACCTGTGTCTTTTCAACCCCCGTCCTTTGTATATTTCATTTTTTTGACTAAACATTCTAACAATAAACTGGAGTTACTAAATTATGTTTTGCTATATTTCTGAAATCAAAGTGGTTGGTTAGTCCCTAAAGGAGTAACACCGCCTACTTCGAGATGTTCCTATTTCTATTACAGTAATTTTTTTGCACCTAATTTACAATGTTATTGCTCAAAAATATTACTAAAAGTTTAAAAATAGCAACTTTTTCCATATCTTCCTAAACTTGAATGTTTAAATTCATCTACATATAATATTTGTTTCCATGATTATAGTATCAAACTTAATAACTCTCTAGAATTGAATTTTCAGCTTCAATCTTAGTGTTAAAATTTTGAAGTCACACCCACTAGATGTAATTATGAAGAAAATAATTTTTTCGGTTGCGGCCATATCTAGCAGAAAACACCGTTTCCCGTCCGATCTACAAACGTAATAAGAAGGAAGGTGCTAGTTGTATTTCTCGATCAGGAATGCTCAACATGTGAGAGCCAGATTTGTTGTATTAGCAATACCCTTGCAATGTTTCCAGATCTCAGTTATACAGGAAAAGAAAATAGTATTATATTACGTGTCAAAAAAGCTTATTTGCTTTGGTCAAACGGGTGTAAACAAAAGACCGCTCTTCAATTAACACCTTATGGTTATAAGTTTTATTTCGACTTAAATGGGAGAGGATGTGATTTTCGGGGTTTCACAGATCTTATTAATACCCGTAAATTACAAAGGGACCATTGCTTCGATTAACCAATATACCGTAGTGTTTATATGAACTGTAAGGAAGTTAACGGTAGAAATCAGAGTATGGTTGCAGTTATATTATTGTCAATGTTTGCGTCCGATGTAGCTTAATTGGAATCTCGCATTTCTCCAAGTTTGCCAACCTGTTCTCCACGAGGATGAAAAAAAATCACAGTGCAAAAAAATAATTCTCAGGGTTCAGTAACCAACACCTACAAGTCAAGACATCCAACCATGACAAAAGAAAACACACCATCACCGGGGAAACTCAAATCCAATCTACCCCGTGGGTACTCCAAGGGACCAATTCATCCATTTCCCAATTCTACCCCACAGCCGTCCAACCTCCTTACTAGATATGACCATTTCTTAATTATGTCTTTAATTACATTGGCAATTGTCATTAGACTATACAAAATCTACTTACCGCCAAGAGTTGTATTTGATGAAGTCCATTTTGGAACGTTTGCCCGCGATTACTACCGAGGTGAGTTTTTTATGGATGTGCATCCACCATTGGGCAAACTTACTTACTATTGGGTCTCAGTACTCTTTGGTTGGAATGGAGAATTCACATTTGAGGAGATTGGCAAGCAATTCGATGATAATGTACCCTATGTGGCTATGAGAATGGTGAGTGGGGTTGCTGGGGTTTTAACTGTATTGTTTACTTATTTAACAGTGCGGCTCAATTGCAGAAGCAGCGTGGCCTGGTTCACTGCAGTACTTTTGATGATTGAGAATTCTCAAGTTACTCAATCGAGATTGATTTTGTTGGATACACCATTAATATGTGCACAACTGCTTGCTATTTATCAATTCAAAAAGTTTAGTCAAACTCCCGTGGCGTTCTCGGGGACCTGGTTTAGACTGCTCTTGATTACGGGAATTAGTTTAGGGATTGCCATGTCAATTAAGCTTACTGGATTATATACCATGGGTTGGGTAGGAATCCTCACTATATTTCAATTATGGACTATTCTTGGTGATCTCAATGTCTCAACTCGACAATGGATTATGCATTTCTTTTCTCGAGTGGTTTGTCTTATTATTGTTCCAACCACCATATATTTGGCTGCGTTTTATATTCATTTTGTTGCGTTACCATTCAATGGTTCCGGTAGTGGGAGTGTAAGTTCCCATTTCCGTTCAACCTTGAATGATACGGATTTTACCGACATGCCCGTTGAAGTACATTATGGATCTACCGTAACTATAAAACACCTCAATGTAGAGAGGTATTTACATTCACATGATCACAATTATCCCACAGGATCAAACGAGCAACAAGTTACGTTATATGGGTATGATTATGATGACAACAATGACTGGATGATTGAATCGCAAAATAAATTCAACGAAAGACTTTTCCAAAAGGGACCAGTCAAAGATGGGGACACAATCAGATTATACCACAGGTCGACCGGGAAATACTTGCATGTTAATGACGTGAGACCACCACTTTCCGAGCATGAATACGCCAACGAAGTCAGTTGTGATGGTGATCGAAACTTGCTTGGTGATATTAACTATGAATTCACGGTGAGAATAGTGAGCAAGAAACCCCATTCCAAGAATGATTTACCCTTGATTAAACTAAGAGCTACTGAGTCTATATTCCAATTGATTCACCGTGGTACCAAATGTGTGGTGATGTCACATGAGGCGAAATTGCCTAAATGGGGGATGGGCTATAATGAAGTGTTGTGCGTTGACCAACCAACTATTCCAAACACTTTATGGTATATTGAACTGAATAGCAACCCCAAGTTTAATGAAACTGAAAATGACTTTGCCAAGATTGAATTTACACCATTTACCTTTTGGAACAAGGTTTGGGAATATCATAAGATCATGTTTAAATTGAATAAAAGTATGACCGATGATCATGTGTACGCTTCCGAACCTTCGACTTGGCCATTTGTGTTGCGCGGAGTAGCATACTATGGCAATGAGTCACTCGAGCACTTGACTGACGAAAATGGAAGTGTGATTTATATGTTGGGGAATGTAGCCATATATTATGCTGGGTCTATATTCATACTTATTTCCATTATCAGGTATGTATTCTACTTGTTTTGGTACTTGAATCCATTTATCATTCCGAAAGAACTGAAGGAACATAGTATTTTCTATACAAATATACGAGATTCAATACTTGGGTGGATCTTAAACTACTTCCCAGCATTTGCCATGTCAAGAAAATTGTTTCTTCATCATTATTTCCCAGCATTATACTTTGCCATTTTAATAATTGGTCAATATGTCGATTATCAAATAACCAGAAGGAAATACTTTGGATTTGCTTTGCTTTTAGCGGTATTGGCCGGTGGTTTATATTGCTATGTACATTTTGTCCCAATCATCTACGGTTTGGAATGGACGTTACAAGAATGTAATCACAGCAAGTGGTTGCCTACGTGGGACATTAACTGTATGACGTTTTCATAAACAATGTATATTATCTTCGAGTTTCAGATATTCCTGTAGCCACCGCAGTAATCAACTCTTCACACCATGCCAACAACTGGTCCTTTTGTTTAATCTTCTCTATTCTTTCTTGTTCGACCTGTTTCAATTCATCACTTAATTCTTGAATAAGTTGTAATTGACTCTCTGGGGTCACACCTATACCAGGAAGGGAATCAATCAACATGCTGATCTGTCTTGATTTTAGAATTATATCGGTTGACAATTCATTGATTGTATTCTTGAACTTCTCCTCGTTTTGCTCGTTGTTCACCTTGGAATTGTCAGCAACAGGCAGCGGTTGAGTTGTTGTTTGGTTTAGTTGTTGCGGTTGGGCATGTCCTGGTAAGGGTGCATTGGCAGCTAAATTGGATGCTGATGTGGGATTTTCAGGATCAAGTAATGCCAGTTCAGCATTAGTATTGACGTAATTTACCGTGGCTGTGAATTGTTCAACTAGCTGATCAAGACAAATTTGAAGTTGTGTTAGACGATCTGACATGATCTGGTATTATATGTGGATGTATCAACTGTCTATAGTAGAACCGTGGGTGAAAGCTGCCATGTTGTTGGTTGTAAAATGAATTTCGTTTTGGTTGTAATTCCGGGTAACATAATACTCAATCATATGCAGGACGAATCAAATCTATAGGTCGTGCGCTTGTCCCCAAAAAAGATTGCCACAAGGAAACAAAAAAATAGTACGACCCTTATGATCGCCCCCCCTTCTTTTTCTAACCGATAAGCCTCAGTTTAAATCTGACAAAGCAAGGTTTCCGGGGGGTTTCATTTCCCCTTTTTCCCACAGATTAGCACTTAACTACACCATACAAAATATATAATATCCTCCCCCCCCATGAACAGTGTTGAAGAAGGCCCAGTGTGGCAGAACGACAACGATGTATCTTCTTGTTTTCTTTGTTCCTCGGCATACCACCTATTTAACCGACGCCATCATTGCCGGAAATGTGGGCGAGTTGTATGTGGATCATGTTCTTTACAAGTGGTGAAGTATTTTCCAAACACGATGATTGTCAACAGTGAGGGTGTGAGATCGGTTGCTACTCCCCAAGAGACTTATCGTACTTGTGATTTATGCGTGGATGAAATTAGAATGATCCGAAGGGCGCTTTTCAATTATGATAATGGAACAAGTGGTGATGTTAGAGGTGGAGGCGGTGATTCCGAGACAACCAGTACTGCATCAAGTGTAAGAAGGGAAGAAGTTCAAGAAGGCGAGAGTGCAGGTACGCCTGCTAACGACGTTGACGACGACGCTAGTAGCTTAACTAAACATACTTCACGGACAACCACCAGGTTAATTCATAAGAATAAACATCGTCGACATCTTGATGTGGATACTGAAAGTGAGGAGAACCTATGTCCTGTTTGTGCCCAAGATTTGTTCAAGTTGTACATACACGAACACAAGAAGCATATTGAAGATATAACGAATGAAGATTTTGAGAAATTTAAACTGGATCATGTGAATGATTGTTTGGTTGCATTTGATTTTAATGGTGACCATACCCGGATGTCTCCTAGTAAAAGTCATACTCGAAATAAAATGTTGGTTTATAATATCCCGCCAATCCCCAAGCCTGTATTTGAGAATATTCCTAATGATGATGAACAAATCACCCACTCTGGATCGGTAGATTCAGCAATAGATAAAGATGGAACTCTGGAGGAGAAGCGAGTCGAGGAAGAACTCGAGAATGAGTGTGTGATTTGTTTGGAAGAATTAAAACCGGGGGATAAAGTGGGGCGATTAGAATGTCTTTGTGTCTTTCATTACAAGTGTATTAAAGATTGGTTTAACAAGAAAGGGTTTGGCGAATGTCCCGTACATTTCCTTCACAAATGAGGTTGGTTTTATGTTGTATTTTAATGTTATTTATTAGTTAGCTAAATACAGTTAACGCTCTTCACGATCAGCATCGTCCCTATTACGTCTCTTACCTCTCTTTTCATGTAATTCCTTGGTTTGTCTAATTGCTTCAGCAGTAGCTCTGTCGACATTTGGATGTAGGGCATCCAACACTTCCTTTGGTGGCATGTCTTCCTTGGGCAATTTCTTACCCAAGACACTTTCGATTCTAAGATACATTTCCAAATCATATTGGGTAATCAACGATATCGATTTCCCTGATCTTCCTGCTCTAGCGGTTCTCCCGACTCTATGAATGTAAGCTTTGGAATCTGTAGGGATATCATAATTAATGACAACATCGACAGAAGGGATATCCAACCCTCTAGCAGCAACATCAGTTGCGATAAGTATATTAGCCAGTCTGGACTTGAACTTGTTTAACGAACCCAATCTTTGTGCTTGGGATAATTGACCATGCAACGGGACAGCATTAAACCCAAGAATACGGCAAAGCAATGCGGTACGTTGAGCATGAGCCACAGTTCTGGTAAACACAATTATTAATTTCCCTTCGTATTCAGAAAGTAAATGTATAAGAATGGTGTTTTTATATCCATCATGGACCAACATCATACTTTGGACTAAATTATCGGCAGTTTGGTATTTGGAAGATACTGCTACTCTCACAGGATTATGTAAACTTGCACGTTGTAACTTTTCAATCTTATTAGTCATGGTAGCCGAAAACAAATATGTGGTTCTCTTTGTGGGGATAACCTTAAGAATTCTGTCAAGAGCAGGGCCGAAATCCATATCCAACAACCTGTCAGCTTCGTCCATAACCAAATACTTCAAGTCTTTCAACTTAAACCCCTTTGTGGTTTCCAAATGGTCCATTATTCTACCAGGAGTAGCCACAATCACATGGGGTTTTCTCATCAAGTCTCGGGCCTGGTCCATCATATCCATACCACCGACAATACATACTGATCTTAAACCCATGGTCAGTCCCAAGGCATCGAAAGTTTCTTTGATTTGGAACGCTAATTCACGGGTGGGTGCAAGTACCAAAGCGAAATATGGCAGTTGTGCTTCCCAAAGCGCCTGGAGAATAGGAATAGCAAAGGCGGCTGTTTTACCAGACCCAGTTTGGGCAAGACCAATGATATCGTGGCCCTCGAGGGCGTGGGGGATGGCTTCGGATTGGATCGGGGTTGGTTTGGTAAATTTCATGGACTGGATTGATTCGAGAAGTTCAGGAACGAGCTTGAGTTCTGAGAAGGATTTGAATTTGAGTTCTTCATCTGGGTTGACTTCGATGGGGGTGATGGTGGTAGATGATGTTGATGCCGTGGTGGTGGTGGTGGTGGTAGATTGTTGGTTCTTTAATGCTTGCTGCTTTATCTTTTCTGCGAGCTTCTTAGTAGCGTCGATCTTGGATGATTTCTTCTTGGTGATCTTGGAATCCTTCATGGCTGTTGTGGTTGTAAATAACGATTAAATTGTATTGCATTCTTTTTTTGTTTTTTTTTATTAAGTAAAAAAAAATAGTTGATATTTTTTACGAAGAGATGAGTAGGTTTTTTTTTTTCAACTGCTAACTTCTTTATTTATTCACTGTATCTACAACATAGACCCCACCTCTCCCCTTTCCTCCTATCATGGCCAAAAGAAGACAAAAAACACGTACTCACAAGAAAGTATCTGAAGAAGAACTCGCCAAGATCCCCAGATCAATGGTGCTTCATTTAGGAGCATCCCTCAAGAACCACTCGTTAACCCAATTAGTTCGTGATTTCAGAAATGTCATGCAACCACACACTGCCATCAACTTGCGAGAACGTAAATCCAACCGATTAAAGGATTTCATTGTCATGGCTGGACCACTTGGTGTTTCTGACTTGTTCATTTTCAATCAATCTGAATCCACTGGTAATATTTCCTTGCGTATGGGTAAAATGCCTCGGGGCCCTACATTACAATTCAAGATCAACTCATACTCTTTGGTTAAAGATGTAAGGAAGATATTGAAGCATCCTAAATCGGTAGGTAAGGATTCCAAGGAATTCTTGACACCTCCATTGTTGGTACTTAACGGGTTCCTGAGTCAAATCAATGATGTGGAACACCACGAAAAGTTGATGATCACCATGTTCCAAAATATGTTCCCGCCAATTCAACCACAACTGACTAAAGTGTCTACTATAAAAAGAGTGTTAATGATCAGCAAAGATCCTCAAACTCAAGAAATTGAAATCAGACATTATGCCATAAACACCAAGTTGGTTGAAGAAAATCGAAATGTCAAGAAGTTAATTAATTCTCATCATAATTTGAAGAAGCATTTGCCTAATTTAGCCAAGAATTCTGATGTATCTGATTTATTGTTGGATCAATACTCTGTGGGTGGTATGACTTCTGACTCTGAAGTAGAAGATGACGCTATCGTGGAAATTAAGCAAGAAGAAGCTGCTAATGTTGTTAAGAAGAAGGAAGCAACTGCTGCTGCTGCTTCTGTACCAAAGGAAGAAACCACTACTAAGAAGAGAGCCATCAAGTTGACAGAATTAGGACCAAGAATTAACATGTCCTTAGTCAAGATTGAAGAAGGGTTAATTGGTTCCTCCAAGACCCTTTACCATGCCACTATAACCAAATCCGAATTAGAACAAAAGGAATTGGCCAAGAAACACGAATTGAAACAGAAATTAAAGGCTGGTGAACAAGTTGAAGAAAACCAATCTGAAGAAGACAAAGATATGTCTGAATCAGATAGTGATGCTCCTGAAATCAACCCTGAAGATTACGAAAACGATAGTGACTTGTATAGTGATGTGGAAGTATAGTGCATCTTTATAGAATTTTATATTAACGTTATCTAAGTTTTTCGATTTCCTGTATTAGCGTATCAATCTCCTGTTGTAATTTGACAACTTCGAGGGAATTTTCAATTGCTTTCTTAAAGAAAGCCTGTGATTGCCTTAATTGATACGGAACAATTCCACCAAATTGTAGCATGGGATCTTTGACCTTATCCTCTTCAAACTCCTCAACTCCACTCAGTTTACTCTTTGTTTGTTTCGTTTTCCTATTCTTTAACGAGCTTTCCATCTGCTCCCTTTTCTCTTCCTTCTTTGTCTTTTGTTGCAAATCAACTAAATGAAATTCTTCATTCACTTCCAAACAAGCGAGTCTAGGACGTAAATCAAGTGAATCAACACCATATCGTCTTTCAAACCCTCGTCCAGTATGTTCATAATTTGCTTTACTTAAATTGACGAATCCATTAATGAAATTGGTTCGGTAATTATTATTGACTACATTCTCGTATTTATCTATTAGAATGAGAAGTTCTATTGTTTTCTTGTCTAGTTGAGACTGTATTTCCGTCATGGTTGATCTTTGAATGAGGAATGGGAATTGCCTGATTTTGGTTTGAAAAAAAATTTAAAAGATTTTATGGGTGCGAAAAAACCAACACTGAGGAACAACTGTAACATCACCAAATACAATCTGTTGCTCTATACATACATGCAAAAGTTCTACTCCGTTGTGAAATTGTATGAAATTTTACTTTAAAAATCGGAGCTCAACAATTGATGTGCGGAATATTGCTAATACCCGTTATTTTCAGAGGATGATTATCTATAAAGCAAATCGCCACTCCACATTTCAATGTCATTCCTTCTTGGGGTTATCAAATATATCCCCGCCTAAGGCGTACATCGATTCAAATGCAAAAGAAACAAATCCATTAGATATTTCAAGTAATCGTACGATAGATTTTGTTAATATACGAATACTCTTCTGGATTTGTAGTCATCCGCGATTCCATTGAATGATTTTCGCTTGTTGTTGGCAATTCACTTGGTCAACTCCCAACCCGAGATAGATGAATCTTGAAACACGCCAATACTCTCTAATTTGGCTTAAATTTCTTGTTGTATCCGTGGAATGAACTGTTGTTGGACCTCGGGTATTGTAACGATGCAAAGCAATTGACCACCAACTCCTGTGATATTCAACTTCTCCTCGGATAAGAAGTTAGCTAACATCCTAGCCGAAAGTATCCATATCCTTGAGTCATACGCCGGATAATAAGGAACATTCAATCAGACTACAGATACGAAACCTTGATTCAACTCACAAATAATCTTGTCAGTAGTTTCGCGAAACGAATGACATAGTCTCGTTACCCGTACGTTCCCTGGAATACGGATCAACAATTGAATCATAAAGTTAAGAGATCTATCCACGGTCCGTTGGAATATGGAGTCATCCAGTATAAAACCTTGTGATGCTCGGAAACTATGGAGTAAGGCTCGGTCATAACGCACTACATACTCACCATGTACACATGCGCCATTGAATGATGTGGAACCATTAATACGTGGTGTTTTGCTTAGTAATGAGCAAGTTTTATCCATAATACCCGGCAGCGCTATCATTATCACAATTCATGATGTGATATCAAAAGATCAACAACTAAAAACACTTGACGAGTCTACTGCCAAAACAAAAAATAAGCAGGGTATAGATCGTACGCAGTATGTTCGCTAAACTCGGATAGAAAATGCTTATCATGATTAAGTTTCTATCCGAAAAATATGGGTAGGAGTCACCAGATGTAGATGTAAACTCTTCGTATAATTTCGAATGATGATTATCCAGTATTCCCGTAATCATTTAGCTTCCGAGGACTAGAAATCACTAGACATCGTCACTTCCATAATTCCCGGTATGTACATAATTCACATAAACCAACTAAAAAAAGATGGCCACGGATGTAGAGTTCTATCCGTACTACATTCAACCGAAGGATAGAATGCGGATATAATGAAATAAACATTGTTACCAAGATCTAAACAGGTCTTATTTGCGGCCATCACCAAAATAATAGAAAACTTGGGGCTCGCTTAATTATTCCGAGGTTATGCGGCAATAGTACCCATTTAACCCTCGCTTAAAACCCACCAAAAACCCCTGGTATTACCCGACTAAAGGTAAACAGTAACACCCTAACCTAAAGTAATGATCATCTTGGCTGCAGCGAGACACCTCATGACCAAGGTTGAAAATAAAAATAAAATTCACCTGGATCACTCATGTTTTGACGTGATGCCCCAGCGGGAATTCTTGGCGGTCGCGCTCACGCTAGTTTTCCCCAGAACTTTCGTGCCAAAGTTTATTATCTTGGCGGAAATTCTGACATGCTGCAAAGTTGTGGGCCGGATGGGCTGGGCGGCAGTAAAATAAGAGCACGAATCTTCCCATGGCCCGATGAAGAGAATGCATCTTTACATCATCCGGAATACAGCTACTTGTGCATTATCCGTTTATCAATGTTGACTGGTAAATCATGTCATTTTCACACATGCTAGTGATAGTTGTGTGGAACTGTCACCGATATCCCGATCCTTTAGTTCACGGGTATGTACCAGTTGACTAGTATCACCTGAAACACCATCATGTAACCTGGTAATCGGTAACCGGTAACCAGTTCATGGCAAATTTCCGTTGCATGGTAGTTGTCAGGAAATCCCCATATTTTTTCCAATCACAGCATGATTTAGCTTTGTGGAGGGGATTAAGTGCTCAGTTCAGGTAATGGTCTGATTTCTCTGGAGTCAAAAAAAAAATCATGGTTTGTTAGCTTATCTATTGTTCAACCTGCATCAACGTCACCCCGGAATAATTGTCTTACGCATCGGTTAAAATCTAAAAAATTTTTTTTCCGCGGATAACAGAATGCAGAGATAAATCCTTAAAAGAGTACAAGACCTAACACAAGGTAATATCAGCTTAGTTTCTATATTATCCATTTAGTCATGGTTAGGTTCTGCTGCTTATAATCCCGCCTTATTTTCTAAAATTTTCAAGGTTATAGCACTCTTGGAAAAGAAACAAGCGTGTGTCATGAGACATTGCAAAAAAAAAAAAGAAAATAAAAAGAAACGTGAATTTTGATTATCCTCGGATAGGTTCTTTGCAACCCCTGGCATTGGCTAATATCGAGTGAAAACAAAAGTTTCAATTTCCCGTCGATTGGCAATTTCGCCTATTTTGTGTTCCAACAATCTTGGGGTAAATAGTGGAGTAAATAGTGGAGTAACTACTGATAAGAACACGCGTTCTGACTATTAATTATTTATTAAACCTTACCAATCGGTACTATATTTTATATAAACTCTTTAATCTATTAAATTCGGTGCTGGGCAATAACTTATCAAACCCAAAACTTGGTTCATCACCACTGTGTGTAGCATGAATCAACTTAATTTCTTCATCCAGTCTTACTTTTTGTCTCATTTGGTTTCCAAATTCATATATTCCATAAGTCATTTCTTCGGAACCAATATGACGCTGGGTGGTACCAGTATATGTAATTTCAGCCAAATCATGTAAAATATTAGCTGTTAATCCCCAAACATCATAAATCTTCTCTTGGGAGATATCGTCACGACGAGATCCTAATCTTCCCCATTTAGTCAATTTTCTTTGTTTGGAAACTCTTGGGGTAACATTAGGAGGTGTAACTCTACCCTTATCGGCTGAATCCAATTCGGAACCCAACTTCAAATCTAACTCTGATTCTTCTTCAGAACATGAAAGATCCTTGATGTTACGTAACCAATCAACTTCATTGTCGTTGTTCTGAAGGAACGTGTATGAACGTAAATCCCAAGGAATACCACCCCACTTGACCTTATAGGAAACACGTTCCAAGCTTTCCAAAGGTGTTTCGTCAACCAGGGGGTATAAAAAGTCTCGAAGTGGACAGGAAAATATAGATGACGATTCTCCGGGATTGAGACTGAGGTTGATATGATTCATAGTATCATGGCAATTCATAAATCCAATGCATGGTCTCACGGATGAGAAGGTTCTTGATAAGTAACTGGGCAAGATATTCAAATGTTCAATGGTACAACCGTATTGAGCCATCAATTCCTGGTTATTGGCGCTTAATCCAATTTCTTCTTCCATTTCTCGTCTTGCAACACGCCATTCATCTTCATATATATCGTCGGCTTTACCACCAGGAAGCGATATATGACCGGGGAAGTTTCTTAATTTGGAAGATCTCTTGGTAAGAATCACTCTCAATTCCCCTAACTTGCCCAAGAACAAGAGTACAAACACGGCAGATCTTCGACTGACAGGTAACTTATGCCATATAGATATTGGACTGCTTTGGTAGTATGATGGTTTGAACTTTTTGATATTGTCTACGAGAATTCCTTCAGAGTATTTTGTCATGATTTATAAAACGAATTGATATGTGTTCTAATGATTCTATGCAAAGTGGTTTTTTTTAAAAAAAAAAATCAATTGAGTTGATGCAATTGAAGTAAATGTTGGTGTATTTGTATTCACAAAAAGGAAAATTTCTTTTTTTCTTTGTGAATGTACCTTTGAAAAAATAATGAGTGAGTGAGTTGGTTGAAAACTGAAGAGAAGAGAAGAACAGAAAAAAAAGCTTATCGGAGAAAAAAAAACATTTTGTGTGGGAACCAGACACCATTTATAACAATACCCGGAATAAGCACAACAATTCGCACCGGAAATTCCAAACCAAAAAAAAATGTGAAAGCATCACAGTGTTGAGAAAATATTTTTTTGTTGTTTTCCATCAGCTTTTTCTTTTTTTTCTTTTTTTTTGCAAGTTTCTTTTTTTAGACATGTTTTGGATGCGGTTGAGCTTTGCTCAATTTAATCACAACCATTAGTAAAATGCACAGTGGTAAAAATTTCAAACATTGCCATGAATGTGAATCTACCGAGGTAATATTATACGAGAATTAATCCGTTGCACGCTCCTCTCAATTGGTCGCTAAGAGAGTACAGATATAACCCTGTGATTATTTCTAGGATATCCCGGAACTAACGTAATAGCCCAAATCTTTCTGTTAGATATGGCACGTGACTACCTATTTATCCGAGGTGGAGATTTTTTTTTAGACTAGCTTCTTTTTCCATGTTGTCATTAACTAGGCGCGCGATTTCAAACTCTCCAACCTGAGCTCCAATTTCATTTTCATTTCTCCACAAATTAAATTTCTCCTCTTTTCAGCCATGTAACCATTGTGCTTGCTTAAAATAGAACATCCAGGATGATACGATCGTATAAAATTTTGTTGGGAGGGAGGGGAGCGAGGGGGGTAAAAGATTGTGTGAGTCATTTATTTTTGCAACCAAAAAAAAAAAATTTGTGTTTCAAAAATTCTCCTCTTTATTGTAGCGCTCCCCTCTTTTGTGCTTCTCCTCTTTCGTGAAATTTTGGTTTTGCTTGTGCTCCTATTTTTTGCAACCGTAAACAAAGGGATCAAGCATTTTTTGCAGCATGTAGCTTGTTTCGGATCAATTTCTCGAGTGGTTGACAGATAAAGTTGCTTCAGTTTAGTCATGTTTACAAAATAGATACAACTTGCTGTTGCATGTTTTACCACTTAAGTCCCAAATTGGAACAAAGCAAACATATATCTAAGTTATCAAAAAAAAATACACACACACACACATAATATATAAGAGATGGTTAGTTGAAACACAAAACAATTGGAAGAAACCTATACTACTTAAAGTTAGTTTTCGTCTTCCATCTACGACAAAGTATAGCCAGAATTATCAGCGTAATAATCGTACCGCAAAACGAACCAATGTACCCCCAATACCAAACTTGGCTCTTCACAATTGTAGTACCAATACTACCATTAATTAATTGTCCTGCAATTTGATCATGCATTTCTCTAAATTTATTTTCACTTACACATATATCTATCATCGCTACTATGACACCAATAACATTGAGGCAAGGGACCAAATATAAGTCCAAGTCATATTCCTTCTTTAGTTTTCCAGAGATATATCTACTGGTTATTTTTGCTGCTCTAATAATATTAAAAATGGTCAAAATACCAAATAATCCCAGGACATATATTTTGAGGAGAAAAAGAACACCACTTAACTCATCGTCGATATCTTCAAGATGGCAAACAACCAGACGGGCCTGAAAATTCAAAAATGTTTGTGGACGGCACCATTGGTAAAGCTCTGGAACTGGGAATAACATTTTGGATAAGTTTATCTTCTTCCTGGCAGAGCGATTCCAGGCAGTTATGCCTTCGACATGGCAATTAATGTTACATCTAATATTAAGCTTGGAAGAAGTACAATTCTCGTCATATGCCGACAGAATGGATTGAAACTGTGAGTGGAATGTGTTGAATGGATCAGCCAAATTTCGTTGACTAGTTAATATGTCCTGATAATTGTCCCTCAAACACGCCAAATTGAGATTAACCGAAAACCCACCTTGGCCACTGTAGCCACAAAAGAAGACACAACCACTCACTATAAGCACAGTACTTAATATACAAGACATTGACCAAGCTCTGGATCCGTCTCTTGTGCTCTGTACCTTATGGACACTATTAGGAGGGGTATTCATTTTCTTGTCGTTGTCTGTTAGTTCTTTTAGTTCAATCAGTTCATTAGTGAACAGAACAAGCGTTTTAGAATCTGATTCAAAGATGCTCAGTTTGTTCATTGTGCTAGTTGAGTACCTGATAGTATCATTCTAAACTTTTTTATCTCTTGTTAGATATTTATATATTTCATAAATTTCAGGAAAGCGAAAAAAATTAGGAAACTCGTGAAAATATATGTACAAGAAATTTGCATCCTTGGTTCTTGGGCGTATTCTAAATTCTGTTATGCTGTTCATTTGTACTATAATTAACCATTAATCCTTCTACCGAATCTATAATCGAACAAGGAGCAGACATTGCTTAATAACGTTGGATAAAGTACAACATCATATAGACATAGGTATCAGAATTTTCGCAGCTAAAAATAAGACAATTATTTACTTTCAAAACAGTACCGTTGTACCTGCCTCGGGCTTTTGCAACAGTTGTGTGTTTATCTTACGAAATAATAGCTCAATATTTCCCTTCAAGAAATGACATAATCAAAGATTGTATCGGACTGTGTATTGAATCAATGTGTTATCGGATGGAAGGAGGCAAATATACAACATGTCATTACTAAAAGTATCCACTTGTCAAGTGGAAATTTCTTGGAAGGAAGAGATAAATCCCATCCGTTGGTTTTCACTGTGCCATGATCGAGTTTATCTATTTTTTTTAGAAATTTGGTCTTAAATGCTAGGCTTTATTTTCGGTAAGCATAGCCTCGTTAGAGCTGATTTTTACCTTGGCAAATATTTTTACCATTATAAATAGATTTCATCTCTACTACTTCTTTAAATCGTCTAATTGTGTAAGTAATTAATAAAATCGTGTCATTGTATTAATTCGACTCGTATATTAGATATAAATCCCCTCGTGTAAAGTCAGACGCTTCGCACCTGCATGAAGACGCAAGTTGAAGCAGGAGTCAACGTTGCAAGATTTCAAAGCTTTTGCTATTGGATAAATTGCTCATACTTGGAACTTTAAATTTAGGTAATAGGGGTATAACTGGTGTATACTGAGGAACTCTCTAAGCGAATCCAGCTTGCTAAAAAGAAAAAAATAACCGGGGGTTTTATAGTAGTTTTTGGTACGTACCTGAAATTTTTGAGTCTGAGTTATTTTTTTTTATCTCCGAACAAAATCGTAAATCCGCCATTCCCTTTTGTACTCCTCATTTAAAGAAAATATAGGGTCAATTAGCGATCATTACATTGTCACCTTGCCAATCACATCAAGGGTGAACTACCAACCCATGCGGGGGCTTACCTATAATTATGCCCGCATTACCCGGTAAGCATTGTAGTGGCGCAGCTTTGTGGATCATTGTCAGTGACTATTTCACCGCAAGCCAAAAAAATTCTATTTTTTGCTGCTGCTAAAATAACGGCCGATACGATTTTATTTTTTTGTCCGTTTCTTCTTCGGTTTGTTTACGTCGTCGTGTGAAAAAAAAATTCATTATTAATGATCATGTCTGCCAGATTTAGATTTTACATGTCAACAATTTAAAAAGGGATCATTTTACCCGACTTATAGACTTTTCTAATTCGTCTCTTCCTCAAAAATGTTCCATCTAGTTACACTACTATTATTCAACTTTTGTCTTATATCGGCATGGTCACCAACTGATTCCTATGCCCCGGGCGAAATTGCCTGTCCAAAAAACTACAATGGGGTACGTTTGGCAGACCAATTATCTAACGAAGAATCCGATTGGATCCAACTGCGTAATGAGATCACTGATAAGAATTTAATTGAGTTTTTAAACCATGCCAATATGGACGATTTTGATGCTGAAAATTTCATCACTGGCTTGAACCGTTCGATTAAGATCGGCCTTGCATTTAGTGGAGGTGGGTACCGTGCCATGCTTTGTGGTGCTGGTCAATTCTCAGCTTTAGATAACAGAACTAGGGGTGCTTGGGAACATGGTCTTGGGGGGTTGGTTCAAGCTTCCACGTATATGGTAGGGTTGTCAGGAGGAAATTGGATGGTGGGAACAATTGCTATGAACAACTTTACACACGTGGAAAAAATTATTGAACAAGGTACCATTTGGGATTTATCTCTGTCTATCATTAATCCTGGAGGATGGAAAATTTGGAAAACTGCATCTACTTTTAAACTGATTGATGATGACTTGGATGATAAGAAGGATGCTGGGTTTGAACTTAGTTTGACTGATTTTTGGGGAAGATCATTATCTTCTCAATTCTTTGCTGGATTGGATGATTTCGGGGCAGCATTGACATGGTCAAATTTGCAAAATGCTGATGTTTTCACCAATCATGAAATGCCATTCCCAATTGTCGTGTCTCTTGGTAGAGAACCAGGAACTCTTATCGTTAGTATCAATTCTACTCTTTTCGAGTTCAATCCCTATGAGATGGGTTCTTGGGATCCAACATTGTATCAATTCACCCCAGTGAAGTATCTTGGTACTGAGTATAACAACGGAAATCCTGTGAATGATACCTGTATTGGAGGATTTGACAATGCTGGTTTTATCATGGGTACTTCTTCAACTTTATTTAACCAATTCCTTTTGCAAATTAATACCACTAGTATTGCTTCAACCGTGAAATCAATCATCACTACTATTCTTAAACGTGTTTCCCATAAGGAAGATGATATTGCGATATATAGACCTAACCCATTCTACAATACTAGTGCAGCCATTGACAAGATTTCCAAGAATGACACTCTTTTCTTAGTCGATGGAGGTGAAGATTTACAAAATATCCCTCTCGCACCATTATTACAACCAGAACGTGATGTTGATGTTATATTTGCATTTGATAATTCCGCCGATACCGAGTATTCCTGGCCCAATGGGACATCCATGATTGCCACGTTCGAAAGACAATATAATAGACAAGGGGTTAATGCCAGTATGTTCCCATATGTTCCAGATTCACAATCATTTATAAACTTGAACCTTACTTCAAGACCAGCATTTTTTGGATGTGATCTGAAAAACCTTAGTACTATCCAAGCCCAAACTCATAACCCCACTTCCGCTTTCTCATCTCCATTGATTGTTTATACTGCCAATCGTCCATTTTCATATTCGTCCAATACATCCACATTCAAGATGTCTTATGAAAACGGTGAACGTGATGCTATTATCCAGAACGGATTTGAAGTTGCCCTGAGAAATAATATGACATTAGATGATGAATGGAGAGCTTGTGTAGGATGTGCTATTATTAGAAGAGAGCAGGAACGTCAAGGACAAGAACAATCAGAACAATGTAAGCAATGCTTTGCGAAGTATTGTTGGGATGGTAGCTTGGACCGCACCTCTCAAATTAATGCCAACTTTACTGATAATGGCTCTACAGAAGGTCATACTAGTAAGAAGAATGGTGCAGTGAAGCATACTGCTACCTCATGGATTTCTACAATTGGTTTATTAGTCATTGCCTTATTTATTTGATTGGAGGAACTTTGAATGATCTCTTAGATTTATCTAAGAATGAGAGATGTTAGGCTATGCATAAAGATATAGTTTAATGCAATATAGTTATAGTAAATCTTATTGTAAAATTTGCAATCTTTTTTGTTCGCAACAGTCTCTATTGATTAATTTAAACCACATGACTAGAAATTGCTATAAGATCCCTATGCAAAAATTATGTTATTAAAAGAGCTTGCTCTATTACTATGTTTGGAAATAAGGATACGGGAGAAGATTAAGCTTGTGAAGTTCTTATTTAGGAAATTAGCCGCTACAGCAGCATTAAATATATGGGTGAGACAATTGACTTACAGGTTGCTGGCTAACTCGTTAGAATTACGTAATGAATGGACTCAACATAATTATCATCAATAATATGTACAAGTTAACAATTTGAGTTGTAAGTAGAAAGGACAATATTTCCGAAGTTTCAGAATTAGTTATAAGCTAGATACCACTATCGCTTGTTGTCGATGCAACACATTTGCATTTGCTGCAAAAATTACTGCAAAGTTAACAGATTAAAATCAGTTCCATTCTACTTCCTACTAGCTAGATCTTTATAGAGCCTAAGGACTAAAGGGCCGTTTTCGGAGATTGCTAGTAATTAGGATATTTCTTGTGGTTTCGCATTTATATTCTTTTACTAGATTTTCTATTGATTAGAATTTGCAACCAATCATTTGGAATTTTCTTTAAATTGCTACATGTGCCATTACTAACCACTCACTTTTTTTTTGGCTTGTATTTTTCATTCCAAGTACATTCCAAATGAATACAGCAATCTCTCTCTTGTTGAGGCACTTTTGTCAACATGGTTTACATTTATGCATTGTTGCCAATTCTACTGTTGAGGTTTTTCCGTTTCAGGTAGATATTTTTTCACGGCATGAACTTACCATTCACACTTACGTTGGCGCTAAAGTAAGTAATTACATTGCCGATTTGGCATATGATACAAACACATAATTGAAAGAAACATAATATGTTGAAAATTCTAAAATAGATAACTGGTATCTATGCGGTTTATATTTCAAATTTCATGAAACCGTCAAAAATGCAGGTACCACCCCCCAACAGATCCTTGGTAGATAGTGTGTGTGTTTTTTTTTTTCTTGGAAATAGCGACTTAGTTACAAGACTAGATCTTTATTTTCTGGGCCTCGTTACCCCAGGTTTGTTTATTAAACGCGATTTAAAGATATTTATCAATTCTGCAAAGCCTATAATCTTATATCTTTTTCGTTTAGCACGAGGGACTTTAAGAAGCGTGATTTAGACGAGTTATTATTCATATGGAAATACTCTTTTGAAATTACATTTGAATTTTCTTTTCTACATTAGCTTCTATTACTTTATTAGGTGAATAAATTTTCATCTTTGGTTGATTATACCCAGAAATACCCCTGAATTAGTTAAGTATTTAAAATAAGCTCTTTTCCCATGGTTATGACATTCGTATCTAGCAAAATTTGGATATCTCCAAGTTTAACAAAATGATATCTAATACTCTTTTGCTACTTTCTTTGTACTTTTGCCTTACACGTTCATTATCATTATTTTCCACTGGAGGTGGCTCCTATGGTCCTACATCAAGCTCATGTCCAGCGAACCGTATTGGAACACGTTTAGCTAACAGTTTATCTCAAGAAGAAGCCGATTGGGTCAATAAGCGTAATAAGATTACTGATCAGAATTTAATCGATTTCTTGAAACATGCCAACATGCAGGATTTTGATCCAGAACTGTATATCAAGTCGTTGGACCGCTCTATTAAGATTGGACTTGCGTTTAGTGGTGGTGGATACCGGGCTATGCTTTGTGGTGCTGGGCAATTTGCTGCTTTGGATAAGCGTACCCAGGGAGCTTGGGAAAATGGACTCGGAGGATTAGTGCAATCTTCTACTTATACTGTAGGATTGTCAGGTGGTAGTTGGTTGGTTGGTACTATTGCTTTGAATGAGTTTACTGACGTGGACCAGATTATTAGGGAAAATAAACTCTGGAATTTGGCCAAACCCGTCTTTATGCCCGGTGGTTTGAATATTCTTGAAACATTACTGGTTTTGACTAAAGTAGAACTTGATGTACTCCAAAAGTGGACTTCTGGGTTTGGGGTTAGTATCACTGATGTGTGGGGAAGAGTATTGTCGTACCAATTCTTTAATAAATTGAAGGATTTTGGTGCAGGATTAACTTGGTCATCTATAACAAACACCAATGCTTTTGCTAATCATAATATGCCTTTCCCGATAGTGATAGCACTTGGCAGAGAACCGGGCACTTATATTATCAGTACAAATTCTACTGTTATTGAATTCAATCCTTATGAGATGGGTTCATGGGATCCGACATTGTACCAATTCACTCCACTCCAGTATCTTGGAACTGAATATAATAATGGGCGTCCTCGTGGAACTTGTGTTACCGGATTTGACAATGCTGGATTCATAGTTGGGACATCATCGTCCGTATTCAATCTTGTGTTTCTCAAAATACTACAAACTCTTCCTTGGCCCGTGAGTACGATTCTTGCCAAGATTCTGGATTTACTCGATCGTAAAGATGATATCGCTATATACAGCCCTAACCCATTCCGCAACACCCGTGCTGCTGCAAAAAAGATCTCCGGCAGTGATACCCTTTACTTAGTTGATGGAGGTGAAGATCTGCAAAATATCCCCTTTGCTCCATTATTACAACCTGAACGTGACGTTGATGTTATATTCGCCTATGATAATTCTGCTGATGATTCAAACTCTTGGCCCAATGGAGCAGCGATCAGAGCTACTTTCCAAAGACAATTCAACAAACAAGGACTTAATGCCAGCATGTTCCCCTATGTTCCTGACGCATCGACATTTGAAAATTTGAAACTTAATTCCAAACCAATGTTTTTTGGGTGCAATGCAAAAGACCTTATTAAGCTTCAAGTAACTACCAAAAACCCTTTTTCCATTTACTCATCACCATTGATAGTTTATACTGCCAACCGTAAATTTTCGTATCTGTCAAATACACCAACATTTCAGTTGATTTATTTAAACAGTGATCGGAATATGATGATACAGAATGGATTTGAAGTTGCACTGAGATTGAATCTGACACTCGACAGTGAATGGCAAGCATGTGTGGGGTGTGCCATCATAAGACGAGAACAAGAACGTCAGGGACAAGAACAGACTGAGCAATGTAAAAGATGTTTTAAAAAATATTGCTGGAATGGTCCTTCTGTCTAATTTATTATGACTTGGTGTCCAAAAACACATATAAAACTGTTTAACAAACTTGCTAACATGTTTGCACGGCTTGTGTGTGTGGTACGGCTGAAAAGAAAGTTAGGTAACTGCTAATATGCCAAATATATATCCCAAATATGGATAACAGAAAAAGTACGGTTTGAAATTTTTATGTATTTATTGTATTATAGACTAGATAGACTATATATTATGGTTTAATTGAATAAATCTATACTAAATCTGACTTACATCACTCGTATCTATACTACTAATTTCGTAATTATTCAAAATAGCAATCATAACGTCATAAGTGCGAAAAATAAAAAACAATGAAAAAGTTCTCAATCATAACGTCACCCTTGTAAAAAGAAAAGGAACAATGAAAAATTCTATTGTTTAACGTTAGTTGCTATTTACATCATAGTATAAAAAGTCAAAAATATAAGATGGCAATAACTCCCCACATATTTTTTTTTACACATGATTCTTTTCACTTATAATTAAGAATTCACTTTACTATTATTGCAATATTCATCTATCTGCGTCATGACCACTCCAGACAAACAGAAACAGGCTGAAATTGCGGAATCAATATCAGAAGTAGCGACATTTGAAGGAGAGCTATTTGATGAACATGATGCAGACAAAGCCTACTTGGCTAAATCTAAACTAGTTGCTTTAGCGATTCAAGAAATAGGATTTGGTAAATATCAAATTGGCTTGTTCTTTGTCGCTGGGTTTGGGTGGCTTTCCGATAACGCGTGGCCAATTGCTACTGGCTTAATCATACCTCGTCTAAACGAAGTTGATGGTGTGCATGCACCTATAGGAAAAGCCCCTTATTTGACATTGGCTCAGAATCTAGGTCTACTTATGGGAGCTCTAATATGGTCACTTTCTTCTGATATAATTGGCCGTAGATGGGCATTTAATTTAACGTTTTTGATCACCGGAATTTGGGCTGTTGTTGCGGGATCATCCCCCAATTTCGCGGCACTAGGGGTATTCTGTTCATTTTGGAGTTTTGGAGTAGGTGGTAATTTGCCTGTCGATTCAGCAATATTTTTGGAAGCACTTCCAAAATCACATCAGTGGTTATTGACGGTAATGTCTGTTTGGTGGGCCATTGGGCAAATTATTGCGAATTTAATTTCATGGGGTTTGATTGCGAATTTTTCTTGTGCTAGCGATGCAACCATTTGTCATAAAGCTGATAATAAGGGATGGAGATATTTCTTGTTTACAATGGGCGGTTTGACTATATGTATGTTCATTGCAAGGTTTGCATTCAATGTGTTGGAATCACCACGATATTACGTGGCTAGGGGTAATGATGAAAAGGCTATTCATACATTGGAAAAAATTGCAAAAATTAATGGCAAGACGTGTCCGATTACATTGGCTGATTTGCAAGAAATAGATATTAGATTTAGTAATGAGGACACTACCAAATCTAACAAACCTAAGAATAAGCTTGTGGAAGAGAAGTTGAAGAAGTATAATCTTTCACATATCCGTCAATGTTTTGCCTCTAAGAAATTGGCTATATCTTCGGCCCTAGTGATATTTACATGGGGAATAATTGGACTTGCGTTTCCATTGTATAACGCATTCTTGCCGTATTATTTAGAAACAAGGGGTAATGCCAACCAACCTTTATCGGTACGTGAAACTTATAGAAACACATTGATTGTATCCGTGTTAGGAGTTCCAGGTGCATTGATAGCGGGTTTTCTTGTCGAGCTTAGAATCGGAAGAAAGGGGACTCTTTTTCTTTCGTTAATACTCACGGGAATTTTCCTCTTTGGATCAACCACAGCTAAAACAAGTAACGCTAATTTAGGATGGAATTGTATGTTTTCGTTTGTGTCCAATATAATGTATGGCGTATTATATGCATACACTCCAGAAGTATTCTTCTCGAAGATAAGAGGTACTGCGGTTGGATTGGCGGCTTCGTTCAACCGTGTTTTGGGTGTTTTTGCACCTATAATTGCTATATATGCTGATTTAACTACATCTGCACCTATATTTGTATCTGGAGCTTTATTTATATTTGCTGGGTTGCTATCAATCTTCTTTCCTTATGAACCACGAGGAAAGGCTAGTTATTAAGTTCGCATCGGTTTTCCGCATTAGGCATGCGGTTCCCAGATTGCTCATTTTTTTTTTATTTCCGCTAACAATCTTTTTTTTTTCAGGATTTATAAATAAAGCTGGGGATTTCGAATTCTTCATGTAAATTGTTTCTTCTGTAGCAAGCCATGACATTCAAGACTAGTGCAACTATTACCCAATTTGGAGGGAAATTATTGAAATTATCCCATGATTCAACCACAACACACACTCCAATGGATGTGAATGTATTCATCCCATCTTCTGGAGATAAGATCCCAGTATTGGTTTATCTTTCAGGATTGACATGTACCCCTAACAATGCCACTGAAAAGTCCTTCTTCCAATACTTTGCAAGTAAATATGGCTTTGCCTTAGTGTTCCCTGATACTTCACCTCGTGGTGCCAACATTGCCGGTGAAGACGACTCATATGACTTTGGTAGTGGTGCTGGTTTTTACGTTGATGCTACACAAGATCCATGGAATCGTAATTACAACATGTACTCATATGTCCATAAGGAACTTTTAACTGAGTTGGCTAAAGAATTTAAACAATTGGATTTTACTAATATTGGGATAACTGGTCATTCAATGGGTGGAATGGGTGCTCTTACTGGATTCTTGTCTCAACCAGGGAAATATAAATCAGTGAGTGCATTTGCCCCAATTTCAAATCCTTCGGTTGTTCCATGGGGTGAAAAGAATTTTGGAAACTACTTGGGAGCTAATAAGGATGACTGGTACAAGTATGACCCAACTCATTTGATCAAGAAGTATACTCATGAAAACCAACCTTCAATTTTGATTCATCAGGGGCTCAGTGATGACTTTTATGAAGGTCAGTTGAAACCAGAAAACTTTGTTGCTGCTTCCAAGGAAGTTGGATATAAAGGTGGTGTTGATTTGAATTTGGTGGAAGGGTATGATCATCTGTACTTTTTCATTTCTTCCTTTGTTGAAGAACATGCTAAACACCATGCCAAATATTTGGGTTTAACTAAATGACTCGGTAAACTTTAGTACTTTCTAAATTTATTTCTTTATATACTACTAGATACTATTGTACTTGGTTTCCCATGTTTGATACCAACTTGCCTTTTTGTCCTTATGAAGATCACGCGCTATATGGGCCAATTTAATGGACTCCTTATTCAATGATGTAGTATACAGTTCAATCTCCTTGTCTATAGTTCTATCAAGCATTAAATCGACAATAAATTTATCCACCAAACTCACCAACCTTGTTTGCATGGCATATATCGTATCTATTGATTCTCCTGGAGTAGTTTTAGGCAAAGACTTCTTGAATGAAGCAATTAAAAGTTTGATCAACTCGATCTTTTTAAGCCATTTCTTGGCATATGTGATTAACTCTTCTCTATCAACTTCCACGGACTCCTCTTCATCTTCATTGTCTGCTGGAGGTTCCTCGCTGTTTTCTTCATCTTCGTCATCACTAAATCCGAACGGATCATCGTCGATTTCTTCTGGATTTTCGGCCCATTCTTCAAAATCTTCAAATCCATCTTCCAAGAGAAGTATACTCTGCTTGATCTTATCGGTAAGCAAAGACAAACTCCCATTCTCTATTAATTTCACAAGTGAGTCACAATTGGACCAGATTTTAGCCACTGCCAACAATCGCCCGTCCATTTCGTCCTTTTTCAATTCTTTTTCCACATCATTATCAATATCTTCGAATATTAACTTCAATTCCTTAGAAAACATATGATTTGATTCAAGCAATTGCTTCACTTGATTAATGATCTCATTGTGGAATAATTTAGAAATCGAAGATACATCGAGCTGACTGATGATAGAAATCGTCAATATCAAAGTCTCAGAAAGTTTCAGGAGGGTATTAAAAGCAGTATCAAGCTCCTTCTTCAAGTTTTCTGGTTTGAAAATGATTCCTGTTTTGGTGGTATGGGCTTTCAAAAGTTTGATCAGTTTGAGTAATTCATTGATTGGATCAGGCACTTGTGCAGCTTGGATTTTGGATATGGAAGCTGGATCAGAGATTGTTGATATCCAGTACTGGGTAGCTTCTTCGAATGAGTCGATTAATGATGTTAAATCTTCCCTAGTCTTGGGCATTGTTGGAGATGCTTTAAGCAACAGTTGAAATTTTGAGTTCAGTTTAATTTTTTTTTTTCAACCTACACTCATCGAGTATCAACATATAGAAAGATATAGATAAGCCTAAAAATCTTACGTGTTTTAAATACAATTTTACATCTGTATAGACCTACCAGTCATCATCATCTTCGTTATCACTATGTGCAACTTTTCCTTTTCTTTTGTTAAGGGCAGCAGAAAGTGCATCAGCTAAAGTTGCAGGTTGTCCAGGAGCTCCTCCTCCTCCTCCTGCGGCTGGTGGTGCAGACTGGGTTTCTCCTCTAGCTTCCAGCAACAATACACTAGGTTTATCTAATTGTGACTTGTCTACTTTTTTCAATTGACCAATACCTGCGCCTCTGATTGACGCCAAAAGTGCATCTCTTCCTGTATCCCCTGTAGCTTCTGGAAGTGCGGGAGCACCTCCTGAAGACATATCAGGCATAGGTGGAGGTGGAGGTGGAGGTGGTGCTCCTGCTCCACCCATGGGCGGCATTGGTGGTGGTGGTGGTGGTGGTGGTGGGATTTGTTGCTGCTGTTGTTGAGGCATGGGTGGTGGAGGTGGTGGAACCTGTTGCTGATGCATAGGTGGAAGTGGTGGGGGAGGAGGTTGTTGATGATGCATTGGAGGTGGAACAGGTATTGGTCTATTTTGGTTCATAGCAGGAGGTGGTGACATAGGTTGATATTGGTTCTGTACAGGAGGGAATTGTTGCGACGATCCAGTCCTATGTGCTCGTGGTGGAGGAGGAGGTGGAGCTTGCCCTCTAGCAGTTCTAGGAGGAGGTGGTGGTGGTGGAGCCGAGCCTTGACTAACGGCTCTTGGTGGCGGTGGTGGTGCTCCTGCTCTTCCTGGTAATGGAGGTGGAGCATTTCCTGTTCTTGCTGGTGGTAAAGGTGGTGGTACTCCATTGGCTCTACTTGGTGGTGCTGGTGGTGGTGCACCTCCTTGAGGCTGGAACGGAGGAGGAACACCAAATTTGTGTGGTCCCTGTGGTTGTTGTGGGGATTGAGGTTGAGGTTGATAAGCCAGATGGTACTGATATGGCTGTTGGTATTGTTGTTGTTGTTGTTGACCAGGTGGCAGAAATGGAGAAGATACTTGCTGATTCACAGGTGGTTGACTTGGCAATGAAGTATTTATCACCGGTGGTGGTAATGCTGATGCCGGTGGAACTCTAAATCTTAAAGCGGGAGCTGGTTCTGGAACTGGAGGAGATGAATCATGCTGTGATCCATCGCTAGGAACCTGAGGCTCAGGCGATGGTGAATAAACATCTGGTGTTCCTTGATGTGATGACTCCGGAGTAGCTGAAACTTGAGCTGCTCCGGTTGGAGGAGGAGGTGGTGGTGGTGGCGGTGCTTTCTTGTGTTTAGAAGCGGTTGACAGTATTCTAGTAGGTTGATGTTCCACTATACGTTGATACTTTCTAGGAATTGGTGGTTCTAACCCTACCAATGGTCCACCTTGCTTGGCAATGTAATCCTTAATAAACTCTCTATTATCAGCAATCATATCTTCACTAATACCAGCTGCTTCTAACTCGGCATATAAAGATCTCCATTCAGGAGGAGGTACATCATCATAATAAAATACCCCTTTACTTCTTCGTTGTCTTTGCGCTGTATTGACATCGACAAATTCTCCTCTTGGACCAGGGGCCAGCGGACCCTTAGGACCCGCTCTTTCCTTTAATGCAATTGCATTTTTATTTTTGACAGTAGCACTAGATCCATGCTTCTGGCGAGTAGTTACTCTCTTGAAAAAATGAGTGGCGTCATTGGTATCTTCAAACAACAATCCCACCAAACAATCTTCAATCTCAAAGGTGTGAAAGAATTTACGGTCTTGGTTATATTCAAAATTGACATACAACTCCTGATCCCATAAAACACCTCTATTTCCAACAATATCAACCAATTTGAGAAAGAAAGTGTGACCTACTAGATCGTCAACTAGAGCAATGGCTCCAGCTAATCCAGTATACACCCATTTGGTGGGGTCAGGATAGGCAATATATAGTCTTGCCACGGTAGCATCAATTATTTTGTTGTTCGCCTTGGGAACAGCACGCTTGATTTTCTCTTTATCATTCGGCGTTAATATGGCCATTCTATTATATTGTGATGTCTATTAAAGTTTGATGTTGATCTTTGTTTATGAAAGTGAATTCGAAGTTGGCAGTGGTTAGGGGAAAAAAGTAGGCAAATCGGTGGTAAACCTGCAAATTCGATTCAGTTTGCAGTTTACTTGTTATCCACGTTAAAGAAAAAAAAATTGTATTTCAGTCTTTGACATCTTCTTCATCTCATCTGTAATCAACAACGAACGTTAATCATGTCTGGTCGTCAAGGTGGTAAAGCTAAGCCATTGAAGGCTCCAAAGAAAAAGCAACAAGATTTCGATGAAGACGATGCCGCTTTCAAGGCCAAGCAAAAGGCCGATGCTGCTGCCAAAAAGGCAATGGCTGAACAAGCTAAGAAAGGTGGACCATTAATTGGTGGTGGTATCAAGAAGAGTGGTAAGAAATAAATGTGTTTGTAATACCAATATATATTATTATCTGATGAAGTTCTGTAGATGATGAAGCGGTTAGACAATTGCACTTTGGATTCTTAAGAAATTGGATTGCAATACAGAGTCTTTTGAATGGGCAATTTGCACGAGGAAGTGCAAATCGTCAACTATATTGCCCAGTTGTTCTGATATGTGTTATCCACATCAGCTGGAATCATATTAACGGCAATAACTTGAGCAAGATTAGTACAAAGAATCTCGACAATTAAACACTCAAAATTTCAAATGAGATCGTTCTCTTCCTAAAGCAGAAAGTTAATGCAAACCTTCTTCCTACTTTGTAGTAGAGTTCAAAGGCTAAAATTACATAGAAAGTGCAAAAAAATAAAGGACGACCTCGGTGAGGATCGAACTCACGATCTTGAGATTAACAGTCTCACGCCTTAACCAGCTTGGCCACGAAGTCCTATTTTCTTACAAAAAAATTTCATTGTTTAAGCGGACGAGTTTTTTGATCGCCAAATAAGGAAATTTAGAGCGGAATTTTTACCACCTATATTGGATTTTTTATCGGAGTTAAAATTTCGGGATTCGGACTTGCTTTTCCACAGTACGGGATCGGACTGCAACAGCTCAAGATTTGCTAACAAAATAGCCTATATTGGTTGTTGCTATACCGATATCTTTCTGAAATATCACACATTAGCTTATAATGCTTGGTAAACTAAATCGTCACACATTTGATGTAATCTGTCTGTAATATGCATGATCATATTGTAGGCAATCAATTGTTAAAAGGGAATTATGTAATCTTTCGTTTGCGACAGTTACATTTGCTTGAAACATGTTTCTAATCAGACAGCTTGGATGAAGAGTAGAGTAAATTCTGTAATTGTGTGTTGGAATATGCAAATATGTGTATCTCAAATTGTAATTGAAGGACAATATGATCAAATTTTAGATAAAATTCCTTAAATATTTGCAACATAAAAAAAATGCGCGCAGTCAGAAAGAGGAGATTCACCCCCTTTGGGTGTGAATACGCTTGGCATTTACACAGTTGTACTGACGTCTTTTCAACCACAAAAGTGAACATATTATTTCCTCATATTGATAAGTCTTTGAGCTGCTTTACTCTTTTGTTTTAATGATGAACCATCACGGAACTATCACGGCAAACATGATATATATACTTCTCCTCTCATGCAACGTCATCGATTTAAAAAGGGTTATCTAGTTAATTGGTACGGCACGAAAGTGTGGCTTTTGGCAACCAGGTGGAATTCCGCTCTGGCAAAAAAGGAAATTCATCCGCGTGAAAGTCCGCGCAGAGTGCACAATTACTAATCAAATTACCTAATTGGGAATATTAATACGGACTTTTACTTGACAGATGACCGGAAAAGGGGACCGGTGTCTTACCGAGATATTTTTTTATTATTTTGCATCAATATTATAAAGAGGATACGATTTCCCTTGTCATCGTGTGAAGATTTTTAAGTCTGTACAAATGAAGTATTTTTCAGCAACTATATATTAAAAAAAAAGGACTAATTCAAAAATGGCAGAAATTGATTTAGAGAAAACTAAAACCCTCGATGACTTTGAAAGTCAGGAAATAACTATCCATGAAGAACCTAATGAGTTATCAGATAAACTAGGCGATGCCCATTTGAACATATTGCCTACTAAGAAATTACTAGTATGTCTAGGAGCATTATCACTTGGTCTTTTTGCATCATTTGCTGATCAGACAAGTATAACTATTGCATTACCACGAATAGGTCAGGACTTGAATGCCGAAACGACTATTAACTGGGCATCTACTGCTTCACTTATGGCGAACTGTGTGTGTCAAGTATTGTTTGGTAGATTTGCAGACATTTTCGGAAGAAAACAGGTATTGCTAGCCTCATTGGGGATCCTTGCTATTGCTGATCTTGCATGTGGGTTTGCTCAAACTGGAATTCAATTCTTCATATTCAGAGCATTCACTGGTATAGGTGGAGGAGGGATACAGTCGTTAACAATGGTGATGGTTAGTGACATTTGCACCCTTAAACAAAGAGGGAAATACCAAGGTATTTTAGGTGCGCAAGTTGGTTTGGGTAATGCCATAGGTCCTTTCCTCATGTCTGCATTTATTGAAAAGAACAACTGGAGAAACTTTTATCATATGATGACACCCTTTATCGTCTTTATCATGGCCATTATTTGGTATCTTATTGATACCCGAGAAAATACCAAGAATTTGAATGATGTTTTGAGCAGAAGAGAAAAGTTTAAAAATATTGATTATTTGGGGGTATTTTTTAGCACAGCAAGTTTAATATTGTTACTTATTCCAATAAGTGGTGGGGGATCTACATATGCTTGGGACAGTACTATTGTCATAGTAATGTTTGTCATCGGTGGTATTTGTCTCATTGTTTTCCTTATTGTTGAATGGAAAACCACCAAATTACCTATGATCCCACTTGCATTATTTTCAAGACTTTCCCTTAGTTTAATCTTGGGATCTAATTTTTTTTACGGAATGGCCTATTATGGATTCACATATTATATTGGATATTACTACCAAATTGTTCGTGGGAAGGACTCAATTCATGCTTCTATTTTAATGTTGCCATTGGTGCTTCCAATGTCAATTTCATCTACCATTGGTGGTGTCTTGATTAGTTATTTGGGACATTATAAGTACATCATTATTGCTGGTTACTCAGTATGGACTCTCTCATGTGGGTTAACATTACTATTCGATGTTGATACAAGCTATGGTGTAATAGTTGTTATTCTTTTAGTCATGGGTTGTGGGGTTGGTTGGACCTTTCAGCCTACCATGGTTGCAGCTCAAAGTCAAGCCAAGAAATCGGAAAGAGCCGTTGTCATTAGTGCTAGAAATGTTCTTCGTTCCTTTGGGGGTTCAGTAGGAATTGCCGTGGCATCTTTGATTGTTAGTAACACTTTGTTGAAACAGGTAAACCAACAACTTAACCAGGAACCATTATTACTACCAAAAAGTTACTTAGTGTACCTTAAGTCTCACATTTACTCGGTTATTGATACATCAGAATTAACTTCCGAACAGATTCTTATTGTCAAGCACATGTACATGAAATCGATCCGAAATTTCTTCTACTTGACAATTCCATTAATTGCTCTTTGTCTTGTTAGTACTTTCTTTGTTAAGGATAAAGGTCTTCAATGTATTGATGAAGTGCCAGTGGATACCAGCAAGAAAGAAGATTTGGAAACAAAGCATTGATTATTTATTTAGAAAGCATTTATAGATTTGAATTCATATTAAAAAAAAATATTAAGCGACTCATAAGTAACTAATTCTGGTTCACATGCCCAAAAAGCCCCTCGGCAAAATCTTTCAAGTCTACCTTATCCAAGTATTCGGCCCCTTGGCCTGCCAACTCATTTATATAGTCGTAGTTTGCACCCATGTCCTTAAAGTCGAAATTCAGCTTGATATAATTGACAAACTCTGCAAATTCATTTGGTTCTGCACTTTCCTGCAGGTTTAATTTGGAAAACGCAATTCCTATTTGGGAAACGAAGTTCTCAATTTGGGTCTCGTTCATGAACCCACTAAGATTTAATATCCCTTGGAACGCATGGTAAATAAACAGAATATCTTGCTCGTAAAATTTCCACCCACGAAAATAAATCATAACTCCGGAGAGAACAATGGTTAATACCACAACTAGTTTGATTAGGGTGAATATGAAATTAATCCACATCTTGGCAGATTTCTTTAATATCCTGTACGTCGCATAACTACCAAGTAAGACCACTGTGATTGCCGTTAAATCAGGGTATCTCCTATGAGCAAAAACAAGTGCTGCGATAGCGTTGCTCAATATGATCTGAAGAAACGTTAAAACAACAGCACCAACCAGGATAAGGATATCATTAACACTCATTTTGACCTAGTGGGACAACTTCAAATTAAGTTTTTGAAATTGGTTGCTAGATTCGATTTAAATATACGTGGCCAGGGCAAAGCAAAACACAAGACAAAAATAAACTTTTGGTGTTACCCGGCTAGTTTACTTTATTACCCGATGTGGTATCCATCACTCGCCATCACCTCGCACTATAAAAACGAACCGATGCATGGAAAATTTTTCCCTGTGTTTTTCTAATTTGTTCTTTGAAAGTTGACCTCCGAATTTAGAAATTTGGCAGTTTTTTAGTTGAAGGATTTGATCGGTTCAGATGCCTCGCTTATTGTGATTTATCATGGTGAAAGCTTGTTCAGTTTAGAGGGCTTTGCCTATTAAGTTAGGGGGGCTCTCGTGCCTTGTGCGAATTGGACTTGTCAGAGGTTATTTGGATTTTTGGTTGAATGCTTTGTTGGTTAACTGTTGATAAGTGTTCGGACAGATAAATTGTGGTTACAAAGAATATTCAAAAGGTTAGAAACTTTAGGGTATCCCGTTATATCACAACATCTTCCTTCAAGGAACGTATGTTTATTTGTAGATGTCATATTCGGCGTATCCAACCTATGACATATTGCTCTCTTTAAACTAATTCATTTGAGATATGATCTAGGGATTAGGATGCTCTTATCAAGAAGAAACTTCCGTGATGGCAGTATCGTCTTGCTTATGTTCCAGTTGTGTGACCTTTGTTATGAATACGAGTTCAGCCCACATTTGTGAAGAAAACAATTGTGACCTAGCAGCCCTGGTAAAGTAGAATTGAGGCAGTGCCTTGAATCTAAGCTGTGTTTCAGTTAGTAGCAAAATTCTGTGCCTCTTTTTGTTTTTAAGGTTCAACAGTGACGTTGAAGTTAAGCCGCACACTATTGTTAGGTATCCCAAAAAAGGAAAGCCAATGTAGCGAAAAAAACAAGGTATATGAAACTCCATTTTCTATTATTCTTGAAATTGCTTTCCTTGATACCAAGAGAAACTAAGGGGGGTCAATCAACCACTACACCATATATTTTTTTATACCACCAAATTATGTTTCTGAGAAAGAAACCCCCTCAACCGTCCATTTTGGAAGAACTACAACAGACATACACTGATTGTTGCGACCAGACTATTAAGAACTTGACGTTGGAAGAACACGGCAATTTTGAAGACGCATTAAAGGGATGGAAAAGTTTGCATACGTCATTATTATACAAAATTGAGTTATTTGAAAAGATAAGCAAGTTATCGCCAACACAAGAGAATATCTTGAATGAGTTAAAAGGAATCCGGGACCAAAATGTTAAACATTTGATAAGAGTTCAGTTGAGATTGGACGAATTGAATAGAATGAAGAAACGCGAGGCCAATGGAGCACCACCTCCACCTCCACCTCCTCGCAGAAGTAATCAACCTCAAAAACTGGTCCCTTCATTACGTGTTTCTCCTCCGTCTGCCAATTCTTCTGCAACCGTCCCTAGGGGTATCATGAAATCACTACGTAGCAATGCCAATGGTCTGCATCCAACTCCCAAGCAAACAACACCGTCATCCAGTCTTGTATCTGCATCGGTTAAACAGGCTTCACAGGCAGCGACTGTATCATGGCAGCGACCAATAACATGGCAGCAAAAGTACGAAGCCTCGAAAAGTAACTATAAGAACAAGACAGAAGAAGATTTGTTTCAAGATTTCGATCAAGAAGTTTATGAAGTAGGTAAACTGAGTTCAAGAACATCTTCCGGAATATCAGAGCTTTCCAATGAACAGGAGGAAAAGAGCTTGATAGACCTTGAAGATGACCAGGTTCACAAGTTTAATTCATTGCATTCTAATTCTTACCAATATAGTCCAGAAACAGCAATATCTAAATCAATGGATGATTTAACCATCAAACCAATTGAAAGCCCACCACATAAGTTTTCCCAAAAGATTGAACCTGTTGAATCAAACGAAACCAAAAGAAAACTTGTTTCAAAGAGTTGGTCAGAGATTCCAAAAGAAAAACCAAAGGTAGCAGCATCAAAAAAGCCATATGTCTATAACAAACCTAAGCCTATGAATTTGAAAAGGCTCATGCAACAGCTGCCAAGCAAACTGCAAAAGCCTACCAAACCGTCGGCTTCTCCTATAACGTCACAAACTGTTGTTAAACAAAAAACTAAACCAGCTTCAAATATAACATACAACTATGTAAAGGCGAAATCTCCCCCGCAAAAAGTTGGCAATGCAAAATCAATGACAAAGACATCTGCATCTAATGGAAATTCCCTTGAGAGACCGCCTTCCAAAAAACTCGAGGAACCACCTCATAGTCCAACAATGGATGATCTCTTAAGTGGTTATGAAAACGATGATATCGATGATGTGTTAACCAAAGACAGATTTTTGACAAACGAAAAGGATCAAGATCAACTTATTTCCTCGATTCGTGGCATTGATCCAGTGGCAGCTAAGCAAATCTTGAATGACATTGTGGTTCGCGGAGATGAAGTTTATTGGGATGACATAATCGGGTTGGAAAGCGCGAAAAACTCTTTGAAAGAAGCCGTGGTTTACCCATTCTTGAGACCGGATTTATTTCGTGGCTTGAGAGAACCAACAAGGGGTATGCTTTTATTTGGACCCCCTGGTACGGGTAAAACCATGTTAGCCCGGGCAGTAGCCACTGAATCCCAATCTACTTTTTTCTCCATTAGTGCCTCGTCATTAACTTCTAAATATCTTGGTGAATCTGAAAAACTAGTGAAAGCATTGTTTTTGTTGGCCAAGAAATTGGCACCTTCGATTGTTTTCATGGATGAAATTGATTCGTTGTTAGGTTCGCGTACAGAAGGTGAATTGGAAAGTATGAGAAGAATCAAGAATGAATTTTTAGTTCTGTGGTCTGAACTTTCCAGCGCAGCTGCAGGGAGAGATTCTGATAATGATGACGAATCTCGGGTCTTGGTATTAGGTGCTACTAATTTGCCCTGGTCTATAGATGAAGCGGCAAGAAGAAGATTCGTAAGACGTCAATATATCCCCTTACCAGAGGGGGAAGCAAGAGTAGCGCAAATTAGAAAGTTACTACAATACCAAAAGAATACTTTGTCAGAAAACGATTACGAGGTTCTAAAGAACTTAACTGAAGGTTTCAGCGGGTCTGATATAACTGCATTAACCAAGGACTCGGCTATGGGTCCCTTGCGAGTATTGGGTGAAAAACTATTGCTGACTCCAACAGACCAGATTCGACCCATTAGTCTTGAAGATTTTGTGAATAGCTTGAATTATATTCGACCAAGTGTTTCCAAAGAGGGATTACGAAAACATGAAGAATGGGCCAGAAAATTTGGATCTTCGGGTGTATAGTAATAGCATAATACATATCATTTTAGGCTTTTAGAATGGCTTACTCCGGAGCCCACCGGATGTAACAACGGAAGAAATTTAATTTTCTAGGCAGTTCCATTCATTCCGAAGATCTCCAAATCTTCCACAGATTTTTACTTGACTACCACCCTCGCAAGTAAAAGAAGTGCTGCCGTGTGTTTCCCTTTTGAAGAAAATCAGGTGGCATTTCTTGGACCAATCAACAAGAAATGACCAAAAGCACTGGTCACAAGATTTTCAGAAACGCATCATCATTGGAAGATTCAATTATGTACTCAAATAGTTACCAAGGAAATGAATATACAAGAAATTTCAAGCGCATTTCTATTTTTTTTTTGTACGGTTTTTTGGGGTAATGCACACATAATGTGGATTTAACTCTCAGGTATACGTGAAATTCATAGTTTCTATTCCTTGGCTCATTCATCTTAAGTCTATTATAAGAATGTTGCAGGAACTTTTTTTTTATCGTTGTTTTGTGGATCGTTTAAAAAATATTTAAAATCTCTTTGTTTGATTAACCGAAAGTAACACAAAGTTATATCCATATTTCGCCGTGTACACAAACAAGAATTATCATATATTTGAAATTGCAATCTGTTGACAAGAAAATTTCCTATTACGTTCCTATTGAGCTCAATATATATCATTTACTTTTCTCAGTAATAACTATTCGGAGATATTCAATAAGTACCATAGCTAATAATGACGATCGGATTTAACAAAACAGAAATACCTCAAAGTGTAGAAATTTCTTGTAGAGAGGGGAGAATTAGCTTAACAAATGCAACATTAAAATTAGCAGATCCCTACATGCAATCCCTGATCTATGTAACTTGTGCTAATTGGACAATGTTATCTTCAACAAAAAAAGAAAAGGTAAATACTGAGAAATTTCCTCTCACAAACCCGTTACAATCATGCTTATCTATTTTTTTTTAGAATGTGGTATTTTCTTCTAGTTCCTCTCTTGGCTTTTTTGCCAAGTTCTTCGGGAAACTTAGTGGGATCTCCGTAGAAGGAATTTGCGTTGTCAAGATGCCAGCAATTCTTGCTCTTTGTTTATTTGAAAACTAGAGATGATCTCTTAGGTCATCTATTTATATTGTTGTTTTTTTTTGATGCCAGGATCCTTAATAGGTTGTTAAATTGTCAATTATAGAATCATGGTGGAAATCTCGAATACCGTTGTAACGGGAATATTGTTTTATGTGACGTCATACCCCAGAGATTTCCCCATTCTAAAAAAAAACAAGAAAATAATTTGACAGTGATAAAATAGTAGTTTCTTCCAGGCACATGCAACCACTGCAACATAAATCGTACAGCTACTCAAAATTAAGGGCAAAAATTTTATAATCGCGACTTTGGGAGCTATAACGAGCTGGATGTCAAGATATGTATATGTACTTGCAATAATCTATAAGGGGGGGGAGCATACTGCTATAAATCAAAAAATCCAATAGGTAAACATTTCTCCTGGCTTTCACATCCCTGTTGGGGTATAAATTAGGGTTGTTACGTTTCCTTAACCAGTATAACTTCTTACCACGTGATTTGTCAACAAAAAAATTCTAGTCAATGCGCGGGGATGTATTTTTAAGAAAGCGTGCATACGCAATTTCCAAGATTGTGCAATAATTCCGTTTACCAAGATTTATGGAATACCTGGTCACAACCTTGGAAGTTTCTTTCCATAAGTCAAGAAGCTTTAATGCCACGAACTTTGCTGAACTATCTGATATCCGGGGATATTCTTGTAGATGACCAAAACAATCTGTTTTTGAGAGCTGAGGGTTGGTACTATGCGAAGTCAACCATGTAGCATTCAATTATTGATCTTTATCAAAATGCTTAAATTAAGGGGAAGTCTAGAATACGGGAGCCTAAATAATTAAAATATCTTGGCAGAATTTCAGGACCAAAAAGTTCAAAAGTGGCCCCAAACTGTAATTGAATCAAGGGGGGTATTATACCCAAACAGACCAAACTGTATTTAATTTGCTCATAAGGTTTAATAGTTGCAACTTAAAATGATCTGCATCTAAAATGACGAGCAAACCGGGACAAGAAAAAGGGTATTCAAAACTGTGGTAATATAATCAAAATCGCCGTATCAACGCTGCGCTTGCAAGAGCAAGAAAATCAATCGATGTTAATTTTTTAGTACCAATTCTGGAAAATATTTTTTACCTAAAAATAAATCCCCATGCATATTGCATTATCAAGCATGGTAAATAATATTTTAATAAAGCCGTAAAAAAAATATTTTGTTTCAGGTGTAAATTTCAACCGAAGAAATTTCGTTGAGTATAACACTATCAAATCAAAGACTTCACCTACTCCTTGACACATGTAAACTCTATTGGGAATAGCATACGAACCTGTAACCAGAAAAATAAATGTTGTGACATTTTGCAAATGATCATCTAAAGCTTATAGTTCGGAATATATAGTAACCTTTCCCTGTTGCAAACAATTTGTTCTCTTTTTTCCTTTTTGTACCTCAATTCTAATTTTATAAGATTCCATAATTATATCATCTTCTGAAACACCTAAATTAATTATACCAATGACTGATATAGCTAGCCAAACATTTGGTCCTTGCTACCTAGACCGGCAATCAAGTCGTGATGAAGATACTACGCCTGAAAATTCACCTACCACCATTAATGATGTCCCTAGTGTAAGCCTGGAACCTCCCAATCGATTATATAGCTCAAGTGAAGTTTCTTTGCCTAGTTTGATAAATAAGAGTCTGTCCTATCACTATTCGCCTGCTCCTTCGTTACTGTCACTGACCCCTTCCCTGATTGGTCAGCAAATTCCAAACACTTCACTTGCAACTTTGCAACCACAATCGCAACTACAATCACGACAACAATATCAACAATATTTTCCTGCAAAATCTTTAATAGATGGGTATCCCCACGTAAGTTCTACACTTTCTGAATACTCGCTAGAGTCACGTTCATATCAATCCCTGACCACTTCATCACTTCCACCAATTGCCATTGGTCCTCCTCCCCCAATCACTCATAATTACTCGCAACCATTCCCTCGTCCTGCTACTCAACCGGTTGCTCAGTACTCACAACCAGTTCGCCAATTGCCGGAGCCGAGACAATATCCAATTGTAATGGCTACTGGAATTCCTTCATTTACAAACATTCAACATAATAATGTTCAGACTCCAAACAATCAGCCGACATATGTAAACTCGGGCTATGAGTATAGAACACAATACGTACCTATTCCTAGCATTCCACAGTTGAATTCTACACCTCCTTCACAGACTCAATTGCCAGGTAGCCCTATTGGGACATTAGCACCTGTGGATACCAGGCATATTTACTACTCAAACTTTAGTTCAGGGATCAACAGGTACAACACTTTACAATCTCGGATCAAGGCAAAGGCGCCTGTTACCAAGAGAAAAACAAAGCAATTAACTACATGGACCCAATCAGAAGACGAGTTATTGAGAGGGCTCAAGGAGGTTCAAAAGTTAGGATGGCGTGAGATATCTACATTTTTCCATGAACGTACACCAAATGCATGCGAGTTCAGATGGCGTCGAATCATTCGTAGTCTTAATACTACAACCAATGCTGTTGGAAAGACATCGCCAAAAACTAGGAAGTCGCCCATGCTAATCAAGTCCTCGAAGAATCAAATGACTGCAGTAACAAATATAGACTATCTTTTGAATTAAAGTGTCCGCATAAAGAAAAGAGGCTCCCGATATGTATGAACTATATACGCGTATCTATACTATGTAGAGGAATTGAAATTGACTTGCATCATAAATACCCAGATTCTTCTGAAGAAAAAAAAAAGTAAAAAAACTATATTATGATTCTCTCTATCGTGCAAAGCGCTATGACGAAAGGTTTTTCCACTTTTTAAAATTTTTTGTTACTTCGACTGGCATACAGTAAATAGGATCAATTTCTTTAAAGTTGTACTTTTTCCAATCTATTAAACTTAAACCAGTGATTCCGAAGCAGGTATGATAAATATCAGTTGCATTGTCGGGACGGTCACTTATTCCACCTTCTTTCAAGTCTTGTGCAGAGAGGATAAAACCTTCCAACTTTTCCAAATCTACCCAGTGCTTCTTGTTCAATATTGCCAATGATGAGAGAACCCACCAACTGTAACAGACATCTGGTAATTTCTCTGGTCGTCCGTTAAAACCTCCACTTGGGAGAACTTGTCTTTCACTTAGCCAGCTTGCAAGTTTGATATCTTGATTTATCAAGTGCAAGTTGTCAGTTATAGCCAATGTCCCAACACAAACAAACACTTGTGCAGCATGACTTTCTGCTCCTGGGACCATTCCGAAAGATCCATCGAAATTTCGGCATTTCATTATAAAATCAACAGCTGGATCTGCTATCTCCTTGGTCAACTCATCCAAGAGTGACAATGCAGAAATTGCAGTGTATACAAACCTGGTATCTACTTCTCCAAATCTATCTCCCTGGAAGCTACCATCGGGAAGTTGTAACTCTTTGATAAATTTCACTAACTTGGTTCTCTTTTCGCTTGATATCATAGTCAATTCATTGTCGTATATACGAAGTACTTGGAGTGCTGATAACGTGGACAATATGTGAGAATCATGCTTTGGAAATGAACCAAATCCTCCAGATTTATCATCCCAACAACTTAATATGAAATCAATTACTTCAGCTTTTGGTAAGGCGTCTAGGCTGTTTATTGTGGCTAATGTGGTGATACCCCAATACAACCCATTCATTCGAAGGTGTTCGCTTAGCCAGTATTCAAATGATCTATGTGAATCCTGTTCTATGACATACTGTATGTGCTTATCCTTCACAAAGGTAACATCCGTCATTGTACAATTGAGAAAGAGAGAGAGAGGGATAGTTGTACTAGAATTACTACATCTTGCCTCTTTTTGATTCTTCAAATTTTGTCTTGACTATTTACCAATATTTTTTGAGTATTTGCACGACTCTTGATCTATAATAACAGCCAAATTTTTGCAGCCTTCTATTAAAAAGAAAAAAAAAACAAAACTTAAAAATGCAAATCTTTGAATTCAAACTTCTTCAGACTTGGATGATATTCGGCATAATTGAGTTTCCTATTATTTTCACTAACAGCTTGTCCTATATTAACCACTTTACAGCCATTATAAGTGACTTCAAAATTATCAAATCCCGCATCATGGAGAATGAGAACAGTAGGCAAAGGTTCAATACGAAGAGCATGGGCATATTGGGGGTTGATCAATTTCAAATCCTTAGTGTAGGGCTGTAAATTTCCTTGATCCAATAAAGTTTTGACTAATTTTCTGGCATGCTTGATCTTGCTGGACAAGATTTCTGTTCTGTTCCCACCCTGTACAATTGACTCAATTCTCTCTTCGTAGATGGCCGAATCTCTTCGTGTTCTTTCTTGTTCCAGTTCTAAGTCACTAGTAAAGACAATATCGTTTCTCTTGCACTTGTTCATATATTCATCTTTTATAATGACAATCTCTTGTGATAAGTAGTTTATTCTCATTGGATTCCAGCCGAGAATTAGATTACCCCTAGGTAGTAATTCTTCTAACCTATTAACAAATGCATTTGGTATTGATCTTTGAGGAAAATAATTCATACTGGAAGCACCTAGTGAATATCCTGATTGCCAAGGGTCGTTCTTTCCTGGAATTAATACAAGCTTACAAGTTTGAACAATATTAGGGTAATTGCCAAGTAAGTTTGTGAGGGAATCAAAATTACTTTTGTATGTTTCTGATTGAGATATAGCCGTAGTTGAAGAGCTTGTGGTGTGCAAAGGTTGAGAAGAAAAGGATCCTGTGAGCACTAAGGCTAGTGGAGTTGATTTCTCATCTGATTCAATGGACTCAATTATTGAGTTTTCCAATCTTTGGAAAAACTTCTTCAACCCATCTAACACCTTAAATGAATCGAGAAAGCAATCAGAACCGACGAATATGAACTTATGATCAATGAGACTCCTTTCTAAGGTTGTCAACTTCCGTTTCAAAGTCTTGGTTATCTTTGTAATCTTTTCCCCAGAAACAGCGGCTTGTTTGTGAATTCCCAAAAAGTCCACGTTCCCGTATGCATCCAAACTTTTCTCCCTTCTCTCGGCTGGCGGTTGACCAATAGTACTAACATAGAAACAACCACCTATATAGTCATGAGCTTGGTTTGAAGAACCTCCTGATGCAGAATATATACCTTCAACAATTACAAACATCCCCGTGCAATAAAAAGAACCTTCTGTTTTGTGGGTTTGAGAAAGATTCAATTCAATATTATCTGTTGAATCTTCCAAGATATACTGATCATTGGCATTTTTGGATAACAATCCGAAAAGGATAAACTTCTGCCCATCTCTACCTAAAACATTCTTAATTAATGTAATTTCATTGGCAAGATTTCCATCTTTCAATGACATGCTAAGGGAAGAAATACTGACGGTTGAAGATTTCTGGAAATTCTCGTTTCTTGATAATCTATCCAGTAATAAATGATATCTATTGTTGAACGTGTCTATGGACAACAGTAAGTTCTCAGATAAACTTTGAAACAATGATCCCTTCTTCTTGGTACTGATATTGAATTGCTTCCTACTCTTATCAAAAATACTTCGTGGTTGATCCTCAGGAGTTATGAATTTAAAATAGTCATCCCAATTAAGTGCATCTTCTCCAACGTCAACAATAGTGTCAGATCTTGTTGCCTTATCACTGAACGACAGAGTTTCAGATTTTTGGTTCATGTTTTTTATAATCTGTTTTAAACCAGCGCCATCTATGAACAAACCACGGTCTTCCACTTTCCATATCTTGGCTATATCTTCGAGGAATTGGTGTGTACGAGGTCCTTTCCAATCAAACCCAAATTTGAAACTGATGGTTTCAGTGAGGACTGCTAGAGCGTCAGTGTTGATATTCAAACCATGTTTCTTTGACAAAATTCTGAACGCAAACGGGCGCAAGTTTGAGGGTTGTAACTTGATCGGTAACGATGTAGTTGACTCCATTTTTACTTTTGGTAAGGACTATGGTGTTGTTTTAAGAATGAATAATAACCAGAAATTAAAGAACGACGCGTCTTATATTTTTACGGTTTTTTTGTGCGGCTTTTTTTTTCGGTGAGATCAAATTTTACAGATGGTAGCGATGTGTATTAATAGTACATAAAATAATTAACATTGACTTTAAAGGGTTTCTTGAGTAATATTCTGGTATATGGCCAGAACATCTACCCCACTTGTTTTATACTCGTCCAAGATTTTGCAATCATTAATTAAATTCTTAACCTGAGCCAGCTTGTAGGAAAGAGTGTTCAATCTCTTTAAACAGAATAGGTTGCTGAGCATCTTTTCATAATAATTTCTTGAACCCGAAGACTCTGCTATCGGGTCAATTAAATTCCAGATCTTTGATTTGGCATTGTTTAAAAAGTTTTCTACTTTATCATAAAATTTGTCATAAGGTTCAAAGTCCGTGTCAGCAAGCAGTAGGGTAAACTCTTTCAAATCTGTTAAAGCATTGTTAATGTTCTCCTCTGTCCTCTGATATTTGTTTGCTGCATTAGATTCAAGGAGTGATACTGGTAACTCCTCAGCCGGATATTCTTGTATCAATTTATGTATTTTTTCTTCAATCTGGGCAGATTCTTTATAGATACCATGCAATATAGTATCATTCTCTAACTTTGACTTTAACCTTTCTCGAAGTTCCATTTCTGTACGAATGATTTTATTTTTTTCAACCTGGGCATCAAGTTCTTTTGTGAGATCGTCTAGTCTAAGCTCCAAGTCATATTTTTCATGTTCCAGATACTCGAGTTGTTGGACTATCTCCTTTGCCTTGTCATCTTTAGTTCTAATTTCAGCATTGAGAAGTTCAATAGTTTCCTGAAGCTGGGCCTTTTCTTGTTCATACTTTATCTTGAGATCATCGGTATCCTTAATAAATTGTTCAACAAGTTTTTCGTTATTGGAGATTTCATGCTTCAACTCTTCCTCGAGTCTATTGTATTGCTGTTGAAGAGCTTTGAATCTTTGATGTTCAATGCTCAACTCTTTTGAATGTCTAATGGCTTCATCAACAACATCTTTTTCAGAATCAAATTCAAATTGTCTTCTTGTTCTTACTGACTCGGCTGGTTCATGGAAGGCAACTTTCTTTTCAGCAACTGGGTCGATATGGAGAACATTCCTGGCAGAATTCTTTAAAATTTTTACATCATCACTTTCTCCTGGTTTAGAGAAGTATTTGTATAACCGAGAAAGAATTCCTGGGCTTTCTTGCACGTTATGTTTCTTTCTTGGCGTCTTGGTTATTCTATAATCCCCTGATCTTATCGGAGTGCTTCCCAAAACTTTATACAAAGATTTAGATTTACGCTTGGTAGAATCTAATGGTGAATTTAATGACTTTATCGGAGAACCTAATCCGGTATCTCTTTTGGTGTAGTAATCTCTGGCTCTTGCACTTGCATAGATCGACTGGTTCACTCTATCAACACCATATTTTGACAGCCTACTGTCAAAATAAGTGCTATTATACTTACTTTTCAAATCATCGTTTGTAAGCTTCCTGCTATATCTTTCCTCGTTTAATTGGGATCTAAATGGCTTAGTTTCTGAATAATTTTTTGCAAATCTTTCGGAAGTGGTAGTCGTTCTAGTGGAGAGAATAGCAGGTTCTTTGTTATAGCTACTCCAAGATTTGAGTGGGTCTCTTAAAGGAACTCTATCTCTGACAATGGGTGAAACATCTCTATATGCTCTGTCAGGACGAACGTCGTTGTACCTATCGGGTTTGGAAAACGAACTGGTGGTAACTGGATTTTTGTCGTTATGATCAGATAATGTTGGATAAAGAGATTCGCCGTTATTCCTGGGGTTGTAGCCTAACTTCCTAGAACGCTGGTATTTGTCTAAAAGACTGGACATGCTGATTGTTATTTGTGGTTACACGAGTGTACAAATGAAAACAGATCGAATTTCTGTTGTGTTTTTTTTTGTCAACTTCGGCGACTATCAACTTTTCGCGTCCTTATTTTCCAATTATTCGTGTCGTATTTTATTTCGCGGGGTTGAGCCACTAACTACATCTAGGTCTATGACTTAAGGGTTAAATACATATAAATTAGAATTACATACTTAGCAAACACTTTCAAAGAGACCTAATACCTCTAGCAGCCAATATCAATTTCTCCACAGAGCTCTACCTTTCTGCTAGAAGAGGACAAATATATCTTATAGGTTCCAGTTTGAATAATCCATTGTTGAGATTCAGGATCCCAAATACTTAAATCTCGATGGAGAATATTGAAATAAACCTTTGCGGATTTCCCTGGCTCCAAAAATACTTTTTCAAACCCTCGAAGGACCCGGGGTGGTGATGGCAAAATCGTGCTTGGAAATTCAATATATAATTGACTGACATATCCTCCCTTTAGTTTCCCTTCATTGGTCACTTCTGCACATACCTCGTAAAGTACTTCCCAAAGTGCAGGATTACCTCCTAACCCTCCGCCAGCTAAAACTGGAGCGGTTGGCTGGTCTGGATCATAACCTCGGGGGTATTCGTAATCATCTTGGTCATCAAGCGATCTAACATTCTCATTGTACAAATAAGGATAGATATATCCGGGAGCAGGATCCATTTCATCGTGGGGAAATAAAGCATCTTCAGGATCACATACATCATCTTCGACTAACTTGTATATTGGTAGATATTCTTGAGGATAGGGTAGATACTCTGAAGGAGGGTTGATTTCTGTGATCTTTAAATTGCAAACTTTAAAGGAAGTATAAGATAATCCAAATCCAAATTCAAATCTAGGTTTAATATTATGCTTATCAAAGAATCGATAATCCAAGTAGATATCACGATCAAAGTTATCCTGAGGATTCCTATCTCCGCCCAAATCATCAATTATAGGCACATAGTGTTGCTTCTTTCTTGCCAAAGTGAAAGGTAATTTACCAGAAGGATTTGTATCACCAAATAACACATCTGCAATGGCTTGTCCCACAAATTGTCCCAAAGGTGGTGCAAATATTACTGCAACGACATTTTTATGTTCTATCCATTTCTCCATGCTTACGGGTCCAGTTGAAGTCACGACAACCACCGTCTTCTTACACTTATCTGCAATAGTTTCAATCAACTGATCTCCATTGTGCCATAAGGATAAGTTTTGACGATCTCCAAAGTTATCTTCAACATATACATAACCTTCTCCGGAAAAGGTATTAACAACCACGATAGCCAAATCAGCATAATCGGCAAGATCTTCCACATTATCCAAATCCCATACACTGCTAGAATAGTCAATCATGATACCTCTATCTCTTGCCTTTTGAGCTATGGCTTCATAAGGGGTGATTACAAATGGATTATTCACTGCTGCTGATCCCCAACCAGAAGTTAGCACACCATCAACACAACGTTGGTCCCTGCAATTAAATCCATTTGGATCGGGACCAGCGCCTTTACCAGCAACCAATATTCTCCTTATCCCGCTACCTTTATCTATTGGAAGGTGATGACCCAGATTCTTCAATAACACAATTGCTTCTCTGGCTACTGTTAAGGCAGTATTGTCACTAAACTCAGATCTAGCATCAACATGCCAATTCTTTTGGACAATTGGACCAAAATGCTGGTATGGGAATTCTTGACCATATGTATGATGGGTCCAGGAACTGAAATTAGGAACATCTTCTTCGGTAGGTAATGCCACCGATTCAATGGCGAAAAAGGGTGCCAAGATTCTGGTGACCATGTCGTTTAATCTCTTTTGACTAATTGTTCCATTATATACTGATCTGGTTAACAAGGCACCCCAATATGATTTTCCAGTTAGCCAATCATCAAATACTTCTCCAGGCATTGTCATATCCAACCCGGCTAAAACTGAATTAACTCCACTATGTTGAGCACCCCAATCAGAAACAACAAATCCTTGGAATGAAAGTTCTTCTTTGAGAAGGAAATTTAAAAGATAAGAGTTCTCGCAGGCATAGGTATTATTCACTTGATTATAAGAACACATAACACTAGCCACACCTGCTCTAACCACATCTGCAAATGGCCAAAGGTAAACTTCATGCATGGCCCTGTCTCCAATGTTTGAGCTGATTGCACTTTCCAACTTATCCCATCCATTTTCCTCCCATTCACCAACTTGTCTGAAATGCTCTTGTTCATTACCAATAAAATGCCTAGCAGTGGCAAGAACTCCTTCATCTTGCATTCCTTCTACAGTTGCAGCACCACCCACGCCTTGTAAGTAAGGATCAGCACCAAAACTTTCCCAATTTCTTCCTCCTGCAGCTTTCAATCCCATTGGTCCAATCGTGGGACCTAATGCAATATGGACACCTTTCTTTTTATGTTCTTTTCCAATTGCTTTGCCTCTTAAGTACATTAACCCTTTGTTGAATGTAGCCGCTGCAGCAAGACCTGAAGGAAAATGAGTTACAAAATCAGTAAATCTGACGCCATTGGGGCCATCTTGAAGACAAAGGTTAGGAACTCCTAAGCGAGGAATGGATCCAGTGTTACCAACACAGGGGCCAGATCCCCACCCGGTACCTGTTGTCAAGTTGACCTTTTCTGTAATGGACATTTTTTCAATTATCTTGCGGGCTTTTTCAAACGCCTTCTGCCAAACTTTATCCAATCTCCCTCCAATTGCTAGAATCTTGTGTTAGTACGAAATAATAACCTTATTTGTTGAGAACGGTAGTATTTACGAGAAGGGTAGTATGCGGGGGAACAGAAGTAATCGTCTTCATTTTCTATGGTAAATAAAGGAACTTCTTGATGGCGGGATCGTTTTTCAAGTAATCGATTGGATGCATTAGAAAATTTGGAATTAAGGGTGAATGTAACGTTTTCTGAACATAAGATGGACAATATGTAGAAGTAGACTAATATGATTGAAGGTAGTAGCCTCATGTTGTTTTGTTAAGAAGTGGTGAGTGTTGCTTAATTTAGAGATTTGGCAGCCAAGTTGGATTTTATTGTTTTTTTTATTATTATTATTTCTATGCAAAATCTTGTGCGATTGTTCACAGCTATAAAATTATGTACACTTTATATTACAACTAAACAATGCAATTTTTTATCATGAGGTCATATGCGCCGTCACCTGGATTTGAGTGACGATATTGGGGGCAATATTCGAGCTTTCTCGATCTAGTTGAGGAAGAGTATTTGAACGCTTCATGGTCGGTGGTAGGTTAGACGGTTGTCTGGGTATCGAGTTAACTTCTGGCTTTGATGATTTTGTAGCATATTGAGATGACGATCTATATTGGTTGGAAATATTATGATTGCCTTGTAAAGGAGATGTCGGAGTAGAATGCAAAAGGTTGGAAAGTGCCGCATGTGATAATTCAAACTGTTTGCTTGGAACAGGTGGTGGTTCGTCGACTTCTTTTACTATTTTCAAAGTCGAAAAGGAATCAAGCAAAGTATCCTTCTTGGGACTTAATTTTTCACCCTTGTGTTTTAATACAACGGTTGTATTTGGGGTCCCTTGCTCTTCTTCTTCTTCTTCTTCTTCCCCGGTCTTGTTCCCGCTGTTATTAAATTCCGCATCCAAATCTACCGACACTGTAAGTACCAGGCGTCGTCTATTGGAAGTTTCGTGAAGAAATTTCTCTAAATTTTTGATTGCTGCATCAGTATCAAGTAATAATGCGCTCTCAAAATATCCTGGTCTGGAATCATCAATCTTCATGGAGTTCTTATACTTTATTCCATTGAATAAATTGAATAATTCACCTCTATAATTCTTTGGGAGTTTGTTTTGTGACAAGTAGACACTGTTGAATTTATCTGGATGTTTCATGAATAATGATACAACTGGTTTCAACTGTTTTATCTCTGATAGTTTGTTCCTTCTTAAGTCTATCTTTTCCAAGGAAAGCAAATTCTCCAACCCAGTCAAATCAGTCAACTTGTTATTATTCATATTGAGGGTAAGCAATTGCAGCAAGTTCTTGGGTAATTTCTTTAAAGAAGTGATATAATTATCAGCAAAGTTCAAGTATTTGATACTAACTAACTGATCTAACCCTTCTGGTAAATCTTCCAACAAGTTGTTTGACAAGTTAAGTTTCACTAAATTGGAAAAAGGTTTTAATGTATATGCAGGCACTCGAGAAATAGATGTTTCTGAAATAGTCAATTGTTTTAGGCAAGCCCATTTGGAATCAGGGAGAATTTCGTAGTCTTTGTTACCAGTATAATTGTCATGAAATTCTAAATCTTTGGGTAAAGAGCCAGCTCCTGCCCAATGTGAGCCACCATTTGCTATTTCTGGTTTGCTATATCTGAATGCATTGTTTTGGAATTGAGGGTATTCTGCAATTTCACTAAATGAATCATCAGCACTACTGAAATGGGAATTGTTTCCAACTTCAGTAAGTCTACGTCCATTCTGCCTATATGAATTGAAACTTGTCCTTCCTGACTCATCATCTATAACCAAATTGAATAAAACTTCTCCAATATTGCTCACTTTACTTTTTCTTATAATCAATATTCGCAATTGTTCACTTAAAATATGCCAACCAAATATTTCATTGGGTTCGTAATCGTTAATTTCCAATACTTGCAAGTTCTTGAACATTTTCACAGGAACTGAGGTATCACATGGATATTCTTCGTATGAACTAATACTATTAATGTGTGTCTTTGGACTTAAGATCAAACACGGAACTTTAGTGAAGGAAGAGTACAAGTACTTGATATCTTTATTGATGACCTTAGGGTCCTTGCTGAATGCAAAAGATCTCCAATAAACTGAAGCATTGGAAACTATGGACTTGACTGAGTTCATTGAAGTTATGGATCTAGTGTCACTATCGAAATGTTTTGAAGTTCGGGCATTGTTAGCAAGAAAGGATATGAAAGTTGGCTCTTGGTTAGGGTTGTCCAACTTGACATTCAACGGTCCCACGTCTACATCCAAGGGTGATGAATCTATTCTTTCATTGAGATAGTATAAATGATGCATGGTGAAACTTAATCGAAGGGGTTGTACTTTAAGGCCAGTGTTTCTGTTTTTGGAAAAACAAAGCAACCCATTAGCCAAAGCTTCTTCGTTCTTCCTTATGTATGTGGACAATCTCTGGATATAAACATCTCCTTCTATGGAGTTAACATTATAGCTAAATGTCCCCATACTTTATACACAAGATCACCTTCCTATTACAATTGTTGTTGTTGTTGTTGTTGGTTTGTATCTGGAACACGACTTTTCAATGCGTCTTTTAAAAGGAACTCTAAAGGAGGGGTACCGGTATCTTTGAATGAATGAATAAAGGAATAATCGGTCAGCAACTATAAGCGAATCCAGAATCGATCTATAGTTCTGGTTATCAAGTAGTAAAAGAGAATTCTATAGCAATCTTAAGTAAAGTAAATTCCTCTTGGGTTGGTATTTTTTTTTTGCCTGATGTACATTTAATTTAAGTGCCCTTTGTTGATAGTTATCTTAATTGGGATGAATTGAAATTTTGTATTATTTTTTTTTTTCTGTTGTTGTTTTTTTATCTTTGTGTACCTGCTTTTAATAAAACAATAATTACTAATAATTAATTGTGGCTAAAGGAAAATTGATTACGTCTTTCCAGCTGCCATTTCTATATTTTGAATTTAACTTTTGCAACCACCAGCGGGCTCAAGCATTATGCTATGATTATGAGCATATGTACACCATACTGAATCATGTAGATTATCTAATTAAACTCAAGAGAAAAAAATAATAAAAAAAAAAATTTTTTTTCAAACACAGCAATATAAATATAGAAATGAAAATACTACCAAAATTGTTAACTTCAATCATCACAAACATCACCATTTCTCGGAGGATTTTAGTAAGCTTTATATTATATTTCCCTAATTGAAGCTCTTGACGGAGCTACTTTGATCGTCATAATGTTGTGACGCATCAAATTGACTGGTTCTATCAGAAGTTCGAACACTGGTGGCATAGGTACTGCTATTTCCAACCGTAGGCTGTACACTCAATCTTTCCATTATAGAAGCAGGGGGGATTGCAGTTGTACTGCAGTTTGTATCTATACTTCTTCTTCTGATTCTTCTTGACGAACTTGCCAATGTAACAATTGATTCACTATCTCGATCGAGGCCAATAGGAGATGCTACCGACAAAGTATTTCCAAAGGTTATTCCGGTTGGGGTACCAGCTCCGGTATTATTGTTCGGGGCAAAGGTATAATTGGTATTCGAGCTTGGTGCTAATGATGTTTCTGCGGTTGAAGCAATCAAAGAAGTTTGATCGTGCTGATTGTCACTAATAATCGAAGCTGATTTTGTCGATTGGGATGATATTATAGATTTTAACGGGATTGTACTTATATTGTCACTAATTTGGTCACTTAATGCCCCAATGGAACGATCATCTGGACTGGTAAAATCACGAATTGTTAAATCGGCATTTCCTTCCTCGTCAGAGTTAATCCCTTGATTATCTTCACTTGACTTTGTTGCTGAGTCCAGGGCTGATCTGCGAGTCCTTGTTCTAGGTGCATGGGTGTTTCGCATATGTGTGTCTGAAGATGTTGTCTGAGGTCGTTGCAGATTCAGATCGTGTTGGTTCGCAAGATTCACGTGGTGAACGCGGTTTTGACCTTGCATCAATCTCCGTACCCATCTGAATCTATTTCTGGGAGCTTGACGTTTGTCACCAGTATAATTGTTAACTGTAAACATAAAATGTTAGTAATCAGGCTATGCAATGCTCCAAATGACAGGCTGTCGCAAATACATACTTTCAGGAGAGGACATATTGATTAACTAATTACTTAGCTTAAAACTGTATCGATAGATGGATGTGTAGTAGCGGGAAAGCAAGTTGTATTTGGGTAAGTCCAGTGTAAGTATCGACCGACTTTAAATGTTGTTTTTTAGATTGAGAGAGAAATAAAAAAAAAAAAAAGGTAAGAAAAAGAAATAATAATTTTTTTCTCTCCCCTCGTTTCTAGTAATCTTTTTGTTTCTTACATTCTCTATCCTAACGACATAGTAAAGATGAGACTTGACTCCATAGGCATATCTAAGTTCACATAACATGTGATTACGCCACTCAATTTGGGTACTCAATCTTACGTTTTCCGATTGCATTCACTATCCAATCTCCTGTCCTGTTGAGTTAACGACACACAATTAGCGCGCCAAAAAAAAAAAAGGACGTAGCACTCTAGATCTAAGCATAGCTTATTTTAGCGCAAAAATAATTGCCATCACGTTAGCATTTGTGAATAATTTTCTGGTAGATAAAAATTATTTTATTAATAGTAATAAAAAAGAATGCGCAAACCCGGAATCGAACCGGGGGCCCAACGATGGCAACGTTGGATTTTACCACTAAACCATTTGCGCTAAGTGGGAAATGCTCCGAGACGGGGAATTGAACCCCGGTCTACCATGCGACAAACGGTAATTCTAGCCACTAAACTATCTCGGACTTTTTTTCTGATGAAAAATTTTCCTTGTTTTTCAAGTTAAGGTTAGATCATGTGCTGTTAAAATTACTAATAATTTGAAGAATAGTGGTAGAAATTGATTCAAATTTGGGGGGAATGTATCAGGAATCTTCTAAAATTGGGTACAAAAAGAGTTTAGTGTGAAACTAGTAAGTATTTGTACATCCAACTAGGTTTTTATAATTTCAGAATTTTTTGGTGGAAACTTTCTGTAAATAATTTATAAATGGTTGCAAAATTGTTGAAATTGTCATATTTCGAACATTACTCTTTTAAATACTCATACGGTTAGATAATTACTGCGTTTGGTTGTTTCACCACACTTTAGATATATAGCAATGATTTTATCACATAGAAATTACCACATATTACAGATCACTTGGGAGTTCAAGTAGACAATACCGTATAAACACAACTTGAATGCAAACTTCTTTGGATAATTTTAGAGCTAATCTGACCCTTTAAAAGAACCAGCAGTTTATATATATAGTAGTGCAGCTTATCAATGATCCTAAAATGGAGAATATTAAGCAACAAAGGTCAACCATGAGTTTGAATATTCGACTATTGTTTCGATCACGCTCACTAAAACAGAGTAGAATATCAATCCTGATTTAGGGGACATCCCTTTATTGTTTTCACACTGCCAATTATAGGTTAAGTTAACTCTTTAGAATCAATATTGTTCAGAGATGGAGCGAAGTCTGTGAAGATCGTTTGCAATTTATTAAAAATGGCACGAGCAATTGCAACTCGGATACAAGTTAAAGTAATTGGTATCTAGTAATCAACTGATTCTACTGGACCAATATAAATCTAACTAATATCTTTTTTGCTTTATGTAAACATATACATGTATGTATAATACACTATATAATATGTGAATAATATAACCAACCATCAAATACTAAAACTAAAATATCAAATAACAGGAACGTTAAAAAAAATAAAGAATAAACTGATGAAACAACCAATAATTTAAAAATACATTATGAACAGAATTAGGAAAGCATTTCACCATGACCCAGAGTTTATCAGTAACAACAAAACAAAAAAAAAGTAGATGCACCTTTAATCTCATTCATTCTTTCACTCTTCTTTATAACCCAAAAATAGAACAACAAATATATGCAAAATGACAATAATTAATGATGAACAAAATGATAATATACAAGTAATTAACAATGAAAGTTCCTCTAACAATTAAAAAAAAAGTTTCAAATTGATGCCAGCATGTCCTAAGACAAATTGGAATCTCTATCACCAAACTCTAATAAACAATAATAACAACAAAAAAATGCGTGTATTTCTTCATTTCCCTTTTCATAATCCAAACAAATCAATAATATCTTAAACAACCCAGTTATAGATTGTTACAATCTCTCAATTTGATGTGTTTGAACAAATAGAAAATACTCTTCTATCAAAGAAAAATATATTCTTTAAACAAAACAAGGATAAAAATCTAATTAATAGATATGCCTCACCAAATAATCCTTCAAATTATTCCCTGATAATTTAACTTTCATATAAAGCACACCTAAAAAAAACTCCAGAATTATAAATAAAAAAAGGGGGTTTTCTTTTCTCCATCATTATCATCATTTACCATCCTATTCCTCATTCAATATATGTCATATGCAAAAAAAGTTCAAGTACATCCTACTCCTTCATAAACAAAACAGAACACAAAAAAAAATAAACTCCAAGACAAAACTAAAATACAATCCAAATTCTATTATTACAATTTGGCGGCGTTCATTATTTGTTCTGAATTGCAGGAGATCCAATCCTCATTTTGGTTTGAGGATTAATGATTTCCAAAGGTTTCTTAATTCTAGGAGTATGAATTCTGGGTGAAGTATTACTAGGTACACCTGGTGTTGTACTTGAGGATGGTAAATCTTGTGATGGAGAAAATGTAGTTGCAGTATATGGATTAAACTTCTTCATTGTTGGACTAGTATGGAATGTCTCAGGAATATCTGGGCAGAATTCTAAATCATCTTCGATATCAAATGATTTTGATAAATAGTATCTTAATCTAGGAGTATGGAATGAATAACTTGATCCAACTCCTGAACCAATACTGGCTGCCAAACCAGAGCTGCCAATGCTTGAACCACCAAGGGTATTGCTGAGCATCGAACTAGCACTGCTAGGTTGTGTGCCAGAACTTGTAAGTGAGCTGGATAAACTATTATTTGAAGAACCGGGAGGCGAAATATAGGTGATATTTGCCGAAGGGCTCGTATTGTTTATTGCGGTAGCATGCACCAAATTAGGTGAATACTGTTGGTAATTTGTATAAATGTATTGATTAGCCATTTTTCAAAAGTTGAGATGCGCTTAGATTTTTATACTATCATAGACTGTGGATCAAGATTTTCTTTGAGTTTTCAAAATAGACAGTGGCGACTTTTAAAAACAACAACAAAAAAATATTCGAGTGGTTAAGTAACTATTGTGTGTGTGTGTGGGTAAATGTCTGTAAAGTGATGTATGCGTTTTACTAAATAGTGGTAATCGTCGTGAAAGTATTATGTGAATTACTATAAGAATAGGAGTGGTTTCTAAAAAAACTGGAAATATGGAAGTTATTGAGTGATTTTAGTAAATGTGGTAGTAATTTCTTTTTTTTTTTTAATTCCCAATTGGGATTTGGTACTAGCATTTTGAACAATATTTGTGCACAATACACGACCATTGATCACCCATTAATTTTGTTGACCCTTTTTGCTGGTCCCCCCCACTTTTTGACTAAAAGTGCACGACTAAGTTGCCAAACAAGAGCTAATTAATAGGAGAAAAATACTTAAGAGATTGTTACAATAATATTGATGACGTGTCAGTTCTAATATTTCTAAATCGGCTTATGATTTGAAGCTACCGTTGAGATTGTTTTACTTACGGGGAGTTTTCAGGAAGGGATATTTCGCTTGGATCGAATACTGATTAGGATAAAAAAATAATTTCTGGTCATTCATTTGTAACATGCAAAATTTAGGACCCTAACCAGTAAACCTGCGTGAAACTAATTTTGTCCAGGGATTACAAAAAGTTTTTGCAACCAACATTTAGAATCAGCCTTACTCTTCAATAAACCAACTTAATTGCAGAAAAACTAGGAGTTGTCAAGATGCAAAGATTATATACGATAAAATTGGATCAACAGTTCAATGATATATCATTTCCTATTTACGTTATAAATCTTCTCCAAAGGAAACATTCACTAACCAACTTTTGATAAGCAATACTAATCCAGATAGAACTGCATTCAAACTAAATACAACACGGTCAACTTACAGATTGAGGTGGATTAATGTAAAAAAAAACAACTATTTCTTGTTGTCAGTTCTACAAAACCGTTTACGAAAAAATACAACTTGCATCCATTATTTTTTAACATTCTCCACAATACGCGCTCTATATTTGTAATCAAGGGGATGCTCAGCAAACCTTTCAATTGTAAAACTTCTCTTTCTAAAAAAAAAATAGTTTGGAAATGGAATTGTCTTTGATAATAAGTCTCCTACAATCATGGCCGATTGAAGTGGTGCAATTGATCTTCAGCTACTTAGACTTCACCTATCTAAAAGTTATTGTTGAGTCAGGAGGACCCTTGAATTCAATTGCTTTTGAAGTGTACTACAAAAACATTGAAATATTAAACGGAAAAGAGCTTGCAAATCTTTCAGGAGAAAGTTCTCTAAATATAGAAAAGGTTCACTCTAGAGCAACAAAGGATAATGTGGTATACATGAACAGACTGGAGTTTATTGAATTCCGGAATTCGCACCCTTTGTACAATATCAACAACATAGCAATTGAAGCTAGAAACCTATTTCATTTGTCTCAAATTCCACAAATATTGAAAAATATTGTATCCATAAACCTTTCTATACCAAACAGTGCTGATCTAGGGATGTTACATGTACTACCTGAGAACATCGTATCGATTATTATTTCGCCAGATGACAATGATTATCTAGACAATTATGCTTTCCCTCCACAATTGCAATTTTTTAAAAGTTTGTCGGGTAAAATAAGAAACATAAACGATTTCCTCAGTAAACTTCCCCATTTACAAGTATTAGATTTGAAAACCAGCCACATCCCTCTCAATGAGTTGGTAAATATTTCTCATCTTGACAAGTTATGCATTCCTTCTACTTGCTTTATATGGTCTTCCTATAATAATGTCAATATTGGAAGTGTAACCAAACTCGTGATATATCACCAGCAGACCATTGAGACTGAAGATGAAGATGAAAATGAAAACTTGTTAGACCAAGAGGAAGTAGTTGAAGAATACTACATCGAGGACGCAATGGGAAATCTGGTGGCGATTTACCCCGAAAATGAAGATAATGAAGAATTTGAAAATAATTCGGACAACATTGAGGAGGAGTATGTTATGATCGAGGAATATGACATCATAAACGAAGATCTAGAAGAAAACCTCATTACTCACATTGAACCTGAAACTGTAATCGATTTAAGCAAGAATAAGCATTTATTCAACTTTTCATATTTCAACAGTTCAACTGTATCTTTAAAATCGATCATGCTACCTCAAGATTTGGTCAGTATTACATTTTCCAACTGTGGATACTTTTCTAACTTATCGAATTTAGATCAACTTATACATTTGAAAAACCTTGAAATCACAGCTGAGTTCGATTTTGAAGCATATGTTACTTTCTTCCACAAAACAAAATTTCCAAAATCATTGACTAAATTAATGGTTGCAAATACAAAATCAAAGAGAGATCTAACTGAATTAGCTATTGCAGCTAGAAGTAAGCATCCATACTTATTTATTGGTTTTTCATTTCAAGTTGGTGAAAAGTTTGCTTTACCAGAATCCTTGAAAGTGCTTGAATTACGCAATTTCCCCTTCGTTTCGTTTCTGCATTGGTGGAAAATACCACACAGTCTTGAATCTTGGACATTATGGGATATAGATGCCATAGTAACTCTATCAGCCAACAGACTACTTGATGCGACCCCAAAATTACAGCATTTATCAATGAATAGAGTCAAAATAGATGTATTAGATAACTTTTATTTGCCACGTACTATTCTTGATATTGAATTCTCCCAATGCGGTATTAAAAAGATTAATCATACAAATTTGTTGAATTTACCCAATCTAAGGTCCCTCGTGATAAAGGAAGACAATAGCAATCGTGCAATGCCATTACCATCTATACATGAACCATTTAGTATCAATGGAATAGAACTAGATAGTTGCAATTTTACTAATTTGAATAATGCAATGAAATTTGATTTGAGTGGGATAAAATGAGATTTTACAAGCCGTCAAGAATATTTCTACTACTTAAAGGTTTACTATATCTGAGGGTATTATGATACTTAGATTGTAAAATTTTTCTACGAAGAATATATCCAAGTATAGAAGTGTAGTTAGACGAACAAGCGGAACAAAATGAATTGTACCTTAGACTTTATTTTATTTTATTTTATTTTATTTTTTTTTCTTTGATAGAGGGGGGCTAATTTTTTGCTTATAGCGTCTCCCAATACCTGTATCATATTAGAAGATGTTTTTAGAGTAAATAAACTTCTTTATAGACGATACAACTCGCAGGGGTTGTCTAAAACAAACGGTGGCGGGGTACTGGACCTTAAACCAAAAAGTTTATTCTTTGGTGCTACCAAATCACTATGTAATCCTAAACAGGAAATTCCTTTGATACCAAAGAAAGGTAAGAGTGGAAAATGATAAAAGGGGGTTCAAAGAATGACAAATTAACACGTTGTATGATGTTTGTGTACAAGAATATATTTTCAAATCCAGTCATTTGTTCTAATGGAGTATTTTTCCGCTAGTACGGTGAATACGCAGTTTAAACGACCTCAAGCCAACTTGCTGAAGTCCTACAAACATATCCTACTAAATAATGGTCTTTCAACTTTACTTATTTCCGATCCTCAGGAGAAAATTTCTGCGTGTTCAATCTGTGTCAAATGTGGAACATATAATGACCCACCTGATATTCCTGGTCTAGCACACTTTTGTGAACATATGGTGTTTATGGGTAGTTCAGAATTTCCACACCCAAATGAGTTTTTCAATTGCATAAACACTTTAGGGGGAGAATGTAATGCTTTTACATCCGGTGAAAAGACATGTTTCTACTATGAAATCCCAGTCAATAAGTCTGAAATCAATGAAGAATTAGGATTTAGTTATAGTTTGAGCGTTTTTAGTAGTTTTTTCAAGCTGCCATTATTTAACAAGACTTCCATGAGTATGGAAGTTGACTTGATTAATCAAGAGCATGAATTGAATATATCCAATGAGGATAAAGTATTGCTTCATGGCATGAGATTACTAGCCAATAATAATCACCCGTTTCATAGGTTTGGAACAGGAAATAAGAAAACTTTAATGTCAACTAAACGTTCCAAGGTAAGAGAAGAGATTATAAAATTCTATCAAACTTACTATTTTGCCGAGAATATGATTTTGGTTTTAAAGGGCCCCCAATCTATAAATCAATTGCAAAAGTTGGCAATTGCAAATTTCCGAGCGATCAAGAAAACCCCAGACGAACCTGAACAAAGTAGAATATCTCATCCAGTGACAAATTATAAGATCCACGAGGTATTTTCAAATTGGAACCAAGTCCTATATATTCAACATAGTAAGTGGACTAAAGTTCGGTTGCTTTTACCAATTCCTAGCTCCACATCTAAATTCCTTGAGAATGTTTGGTGCAATTTACTAGGTGATGAATCTTGTGGCACAATTTGTGAATATCTTAAACATGAAAAAGGATTTCTAAATTCAATCTACGTATTCTCACACAAGTTTACCGCAAAGCAAAAAGCTTTAGCAATAGATTTAGGTTTGACCAAAAGTGGCGAAACAAATTTGTCAACTGTAGTAAGCGCAATCTTTAACTTTATTGCTCAAATCTTGTCTCAAAGTGATGAAACATTACACCAACTATTGTCAGAATATTCTAGAGTATTCAAATTTAATGCCTATTTCCAAACAAATCAAGATTCACCCATGATTGAAGTTTCAAACTTAGCTCTATTATTGCAAGATAGAGAGTTGCCTTTAGAAGATATAATTTTGGGATCTAGCCTAACAATAAAAAAAGACGTTGGCAAATTTAGAAAAAGAACCATAGAACTTTTCAACATTGATAAACTAAACATAATAATACTATCAGATAAGCCTCAATTGGTAGAACAAGTAACTTTGCCAGCAACAGGTAAATTAGAGAAGGATCCATTTTACAATTTTGGGTACAAAACTTACATTTTCAAGCCCCCAAGAAGAGGAGACATCTTTCCAGAATTTTCCTTGATCTTAGAAAATAGGTTTATTCCATTTACATGCGAGCAATTGGACAGAGCCATAGCTAATTCCAAATTGAAAAAGTTTCAATTTATGGGAGAGATACCCCAGGACCAAACCCCAAAATTGTTGGATTATTCCAACTATCATGAAATCTGGATCTCTGAATCACGAAATTTAACCAACATAGTGTTTACTTCGTTCCAAATCAGGTTTTCACAAGTAAAATTCACACCTGTAAATTGTATTGGAGTGGAAATCATGGCTATATTATTTGAAACTTTTTTGTTGCAAAAGTTATATTTGGCAGAGTTGGCAAATTATTCATGGGCTATCTACCCGAATTATAATATAGCCCCATCTTTTACTTTTGCCGCTTGTGGTCCAAAGCATGGATTCAAGTATTTCTTACACGAATTTGTTAAAATGATAAATGGGTTTCTTAATAATGGTGTCAACAATTTAGGCTACAAAAGATTCACGAGAGCTAAATTAGAATTAAGAGATGAATATGAAAAATTACTTTCAAGAGATGCAATGAAACAAGCTCTAGCTATATCTATTCTTGCACTTGAGTCAGGAATTTGTCCCTTGAATGAAAGAATGGAAGCCCTTGAAATTATTAGTATAGAAGATTTACAACGCATTTGCAAAATTATCAAAAAAGATCAAAGCCAAGTACAAGTACTAATAAGTGGAAACATTGATAGGAAGTTCATAATGGATGTAAGTACCATTATTAACACATTGTCCCACCACCAGCAAACCATATTGGATGGAGTTAACTTTCCACAACCTAAAAGTGTTCGTCTAAAAGTGGGCGCAAACTATGCATATGTACATAACAACCCAGATGAAAAAGTCCGAGCAGATGATGTTTACCATTATATACAACTAGGACGCAGAGATGATAGTTCAGTTAGAACAATGGCTGCGTTCTTATCATACCTATTATCCCAAACGGTTACTTACGAGCTTAGGACTAAGAAACAAGTGGGTTACATGGTATTGAGTGGAGTTCGGTATAATAAGGAAACATTAGGAATACATATCTATGTCTCTAGCAGCAAATTCACCTATTCTGAAGTGATGAGTGAGATAGAACAATTACTATTTGATTGGGAGATACGTCTATTAAACTATACTCAAGATGATTTAGATAAACAGATTAATACTTTTCTAGAAGGCTGTGACCGCTTCCCAGAAGAACAATTGCCATCTAATATTCTTTACGGAGTTCCCCCTAGTCAATCAAGCGGCAATTTTTCTACTGATGATAAGGGTTTTAAGAGGCATCAATGTTATTGGGAAAAGATACTTACAGGAAACTTTGATTTTTCTGTTGGAAACATGAAGGAAGAACTTGATATAGATTTACTTGAGGGTATGAAAACTGAATCGTTGCTTACATTTTTCGGAACATATATATCGATTAAATCAAAAGTGAGATCCACACTTTCAATATTTATTTCTTCGCGCAAGGCCAGAGAACTACAAGAATACCGTGAAGCCAAAGAGACTCTCCAGGAATTGTTGTCTGCCAAACAATACAACCTTAGTCCAATTCAAATAAAAATGTTGGTACGAGAACATAATAGAGATATTTCACAAATAGTAAAACATTTACAGGCACGTGGATATGATATCAAACAACCAAAGACTAATTTACTGCTTTTGAAACTAAATAACTCTTCCAATAATGAAAAAGAGTTTAGCAAACTTCAGCAAAAATGCATTGAAAAATTCGGAAAATTGTACAAAGACAAGTCCAGAGTAGTGCCATTGATAGAAGTATCTAAGATATTAGAAATCCATGCAGGATCTTCAATATGCCCAACCAAAGACCGCTATTCGTCAATTAAAAAACACGCCGAGTAAATATATCTGATTTCGCAAGATACACAAGTCAATAGATAGTAATCTTTTAGCACAGACTTAGTGAATGTGACTTCAAATTTTTAACACTAAAATTGAAGCTGAAAACTTAACTCTAGATTGTATTTAAGTTTGGTTCTATAATTAAAGAAACAAATATTATATGTAGATGAATTTAAACATTCAAGTTTAGGAAGATATGGAAAAAGTTGCTATTTTTAAACTTTTAGTAATATTTTTGAGAAATAACATTGTAAATTAGGTGCAAAAAAATTACTGTAATAGAAATGGGAACATCTCGAAGTAGGCGGTGTTACTCCTTTAGAGACTAACCAACCACTTTGATTTCAGAAATATAGCAAAACATAATTTAGTAACTCCAGTTTATTGTTAGAATGTTTAGTCAAAAAAATGAAATATACAAAGGACGGGGATTGAAAAGACACAGGTTTGGTTTGTGGCTACAAACAATAGTTAATTTTTTTGTTACATTTTACTGTTAATAACTTTAACTTTACCTTTTCTTTTTGCAACATAAATAGCTACTATAACTAAGTATTAGTTCTTACCAGGTTCTAGGTTATATTGAAATGCAAACACGAATGGTTTTAGTGCTACTAAAATCGTTTAAGCGCGTAAGCATTCAGAAGCAAACTTAACCAAAAAAAAAAACAAACGCGACAGTGAGGAAAACAAATAATCGCATAATGTGTTGTAGAATTAAAGTGAAAACAACAACTAAGGTAGGGGACTACAACAAACCATTCAATACCTAAACAGTACCATTTTGATATCAAGGAACATTCACAACATATAGACAGAGTGCATTCCTACCAAACTGCTTACTCAAGGGAACTCTAAAACACACATTTTCAAATTCGATTCTGTTAAATGCATGTTGAAAACTCACTTGTTTCGTGTTGCTAACGAGCTAGCAATATGTATCGCCATTCTGTTGAATCGCTAGCTACATATTATTAGCGCTTTGGACATTAGAAACTAATTGAAACTGATTTATTGCAATATGGAGGTTGAGCAGTATCTGTTAAGGAAGAGGGTGGTGTTAGAATCTTGTGTTCAACGCCACTGTTTAATAATCACATGGACTATTACCTACACATAGAAACAAAATTAAGCAGATATTGCAAATGCATATTTTCCAAACTTTGAAGAGTTTAGGGAGGTTTAGAGGCAGTGTTGCAAACCAGCAACAACTATTTTGGCAGTTAATCCCCCCTTGTTTGACGTTTCATTTGTATTTCCCAACAGGGCTACATTGCATTTTAAAGAATAAATAGCCACAATTCTTTGCTGCATGTAACTAAATGCTGTGTTATACAAATTGCAACTAACCTAAGTAAAGAATTTGAGAGTATAGTATACATATGATAGAGCGAGATAGATGTGGCACCTTTTTTTAAAACACATTATTCAAATTCTTGAAACTCCCCATGCACAATTAGTTCCACCATAACCATTACGGAAAATATTAGCCCATTTTAAGGAGTTAGGAACATCAATGTAGCAATGAGGTCATAACTCATAGGTTACATAAATAAAAGGTCAAACAAAACTAACCAGAAAAATTCAAGAATGGGCCGATATACCAGATAGTACTAACCCCAAAAAGTAGATTCCCCAAATAGTGAGCTTTTGTTTTTGTAACAATATGCCTTTCTCCCATTTCAACTGATCAAGTCCTAGGTGGTGGGGAGTGTACCGAAAGTTCAAGATTATACCAAGAGATTGCCCTTCATAGCTTTAAAAATAGTATTGAATTGGAGTATGGCGCATTATCTTGTAGCCATGTTTTTTGATGGTTATGAAATATTTTGTTCCTAGATTATTGCTGCTAATTGTTCAATTTTTTTTTGGCATGGGTGCAAATGAGCCCTAGGATAAATGCACAGGATAAGGAGTGAGATATGGAAATGGAAATGGAAATGGGAGGGGGTGTTTCTGAAACATTTCAAACATTATAAATGCGGTAGCAATTTCCCATACAGAGAATATCAATTTGTGGAAACAACCAACTAGAGAAAAGATGATATCGCTTATTTTTTTCTTTTCATTTTTATTGACAAGTGTTTTAACCAAAGAAATTTCTGGTGTTTTCACGTCTTTCAAGTCCTTAGTGTGGGAGCTGGGATCTAAGTATACATATGTTTCTCCTAGCCATCCTTCTTGGATGGTAACAATGGGTTGGGACATTGACGGATCCACCATGAGTGCTGGAGATACTTTCACCTTAACTATGCCATGTGTATTCAAGTTTACCTCCGAATATAAACATGTTGATTTGATCGCAACGCACCCAATCACCGGCGCAACAACCACCTTTGCTACCTGTCATTTCAATCCAGGAGATATTCTTGTTACGTACTCTGAATTATTGTGTGTTTTACTGGATGAGGTTGACTCTGAGACGAAAGCATATGGCGCTATCACTATTCCAGTTACTTTTAATGCTGGAAGAGGAGCAAGTGATACAGACTTGGCATGTGCAGCTATGTTTCATTCTGGAACCACCACGGTTTCATTCAGAGACGGAGATAATATTCTTTCTATTGATGTTGAATTTGAAAAGGGGTGTGACCATCTAAAGCCATTGTTACGACATAGTCGGATATCACTTTTATTCGATAATAGCCAACCGGTTATATTCGCTGCGGAATGTCCTGATGGTTATGATTCGGGAACTCTTGGAATACAACTTGTGTATGAAGAGCACACAATTAATTGCAATTATGCGAGAGCTGCTATAACCAATGAATTAAATGATTGGTGTTTTGCCAAGTCTATTGCACCATTTACATTTACAACAAGTTGTAATCAAAGCACTTTCATTGTTGAATATGAAAATATTCCAGCAGGTTACAGGCCCTTTCTTGAGATTCTTGTACGAGCACCTCCTCCCGCGAAAATGAACATGACCTACATAGAGACGCACTACTGCTCTGGTCTGCCTGAACTAGTTAACAATACATATATGGAATACTGGGGGGAATATAAAAACGTAAGTCCTTGGTCCGATGGTCGTGAAATTGTTCTCACTACTAGAACTTATACGGGGAAATATACCACAGTAACCACTCTAAGCTTTGATCACTCCCTTGACAAAACCAAAACTATTGTTGTTGAAGTTCCAATTCCAACTACAACTATTACTACGACGTACGGTGGGAAAGTCACCACAAGAACTACAAAGACAGTGGAACCTGGGGAAACTGCTACTGTTATTGAATTACGTCCGATAGAAACTTATTTTGAAACAAGAACTTGGACGGGAACATTCACCCAGCTGACTACGTTACCATATGATATTGACATTGATAAAACTGTGACCGTGCTTGTTGATATTCCTATTCCAACTGTGACACTGACCACGACCTATGATGGTACCACGACTTCGTACACTACTGTGACTGCAGACATTGGTGAGACAGCCACTGTAATCGAATTCCACCCACCACATACTGCTACTGAAACCAGAACATGGACAGGAAGTTTTACTCAAACGACCACATTACCATATGATCCTGAAATTGATAAGACTGTAACTATTGTTGTTGAAGTTCCTATTCCTACAGTTACGCTGAGCACGACTTATGATGGCTCTACCATTTCGTACACCACTGTGACGGCTGAACCTGGCGAGACAGCTACTGTTATTGAGTACCATCCTGGTGGTGAAAGTGGAGAACCTGGTGTGACTGGAGAATCTATTGAGACTGGAGAATCTGTTGGGACTGGAGAACCCGGAGCTCACTCTCTTGGTACTGTTACTGAAACCAGAACGTGGACAGGTAGTTTCACCCAAACGACCACGTTACCTTACGATCCTGAGATTGACGAAACTATGACTATTATTGTCGAGCTTCCTATCCCTACAGTAACACTGACCACAACTTATGATGGCTCTACCGTTTCGTACACTACTGTGACAGCTGAACCTGGAGAGACAGCCACTGTTATTGAGTTCCATCCTGGTGGTGAGAGTGGAGAACCAGTTGGGACTGGTGGACCAGCAGGGACTGGAGAACCTGTTGAGACTAGAGAACCTGTTGAGACTGGAGAACCCGTTGAGACAGGCGAGCCTATTCAAACAGGTGGAGGTGGTGAGACAGGAGAACCCGGAGGTTATTCTCTTGACACTGCTATTGAAACCAGAACATGGACAGGAAGCTTTACCCAAACGACTACGTTACCTTATGATCCTGAAATTGATGAAACTATGACTATTATTGTCGAAGTACCTATTCCAACTGTTACGCTGAGTACGACTTACGATGGCTCTACCGTTTCGTACACTACTGTGACAGCTGAACCTGGTGAGACAGCCACTGTCATCGAGTACCATCCTGGTGGTGAGAGTGGAGAACCAGTTGGGACTGGTGGACCAGCAGGGACTGGTGGACCTGTTGAAACAGGTGAAGCTGAAACTGGAGAACCAGGAGGTCATTCTCTTGACACTGCTACTGAAACTAGAACTTGGACAGGAAGTTACACGCAGACGACTACATTACCTTACAATCCTGAAATCGACGAAACCGTGACTATCATTGTCGAAGTACCTATTCCAACTGTTACACTGAGTGCGACTTACGATGGATCTACCATTTCGTACACCACTGTGACGGCCGAACCTGGCGAGACAGCTACTGTCATCGAGTACCATCCTGGTGGTGAGACTGGAGAACCAGCAGGGACTGGTGGACCAGCAGGGACTGGAGAACCTGTTGAGACTGGAGAACCCGTTGAGACAGGCGAGCCTATTCAAACAGGTGGAGGTGGTGAGACTGGAGAACCCGGAGGTCATTCTCTTGATACTGTTATTGAAACCAGAACTTGGACAGGAAGTTTTACACAGACGACCACATTACCTTATGATCCTGAAATTGACGAAACTATTAGTATCATTGTTGAAGTACCTATTCCAACTGTTACGCTGAGTACGACTTATGATGGCTCTACCATTTCGTACACTACTGTGACAGCTGAACCTGGTGAGACAGCTACTGTTATTGAGTACCATCCTGTAGAACCTGTTGAAACTGGAGAACCTGTTGAAATTGGCATATCTATTGAGACACTAGAACCTGCTCAGACAGGAGAGCCTGTTCAGACTGAAGAACCTGGTGAAAGTGGAGAACCCGGAGCTCATTCTCTTGAAACTGCCACTTCAACTAGAACTTGGACAGGAAGTTTCACCCAAATGACCACGTTACCATATGATCCTGAAATTGATAAGACTGTAACTATTGTTGTTGAAGTTCCTATTCCTACAGTTACGCTGAGCACGACTTATGATGGCTCTACCGTTTCGTACACCACTGTGACAGCTGAACCTGGCGAGACAGCTACTGTTATTGAGTACCATCCTGTAGAACCTGTTGAAACTGGAGAACCTGTTGAAATTGGCATATCTATTGAGACACTAGAACCTGCTCAGACAGGAGAGCCTGTTCAGACTGAAGAACCTGGTGAAAGTGGAGAACCCGGAGCTCATTCTCTTGAAACTGCCACTTCAACTAGAACTTGGACAGGAAGTTTCACCCAAATGACCACGTTACCATATGATCCTGAAATTGATAAGACTGTAACTATTGTTGTTGAAGTTCCTATTCCTACAGTTACGCTGAGCACGACTTATGATGGCTCTACCGTTTCGTACACCACTGTGACAGCTGAACCTGGCGAGACAGCTACTGTTATTGAGTACCATCCTGTAGAACCTGTTGAAACTGGAGAACCTGTTGAAATTGGCATATCTATTGAGACACTAGAACCTGCTCAGACAGGAGAGCCTGTTCAGACTGAAGAACCTGGTGAAAGTGGAGAACCCGGAGCTCATTCTCTTGAAACTGCCACTTCAACTAGAACTTGGACAGGAAGTTTCACCCAAATGACCACGTTACCATATGATCCTGAAATTGATAAGACTGTAACTATTGTTGTTGAAGTTCCTATTCCTACAGTTACGCTGAGCACGACTTATGATGGCTCTACCGTTTCGTACACCACTGTGACAGCTGAACCTGGTGAGACTGCTACGGTTATAGAGTACCATCCTGGTGGTGAAAGTGGAGAACCTGGTGTGACTGGAGAATCTATTGAGACTGGAGAATCTGTTGGGACTGGAGAACCCGGAGCTCACTCTCTTGGTACTGTTACTGAAACCAGAACGTGGACAGGTAGTTTTACCCAGACGACCACGTTACCTTATGATCCTGAGATTGGCGAAACTATTAGTATCATTGTCGAAGTACCTATTCCAACTGTTACGCTGAGTACGACTTATGATGGCTCTACCA